ATTGTCCCCAACGTTGGCCTCGATGCGAGGAATCGGCCATTGACCGTTGATACCGATTACTGGGCGATCGAAGGCGCCATCTGGGTTCGCCGTCACCCAGCCGATATTGAAGTCATACGAAACCGTGGCAGCGTAGGCCGTCTGCGCGATGGCGGAGAGGAGGGCCAAAAGGCCTGCTGTGCCTGTCATATTGACCTCTTTCTTTCTACTGCTTCTCTGTCTCGGTCTTTGCTATTCTGTGATGCGCAGGGGAGAATTTGCCAGGAACGAGGCGGCAGAGGATGACAGGTCTCGCAGTGACACGAGCGGCTTCTTGTGCATCCCTTCAGACAGATTGATCCGGGGACAGACCGGAGGCAAGAAGATTTCACATCGTTCAAAAGAAAGGGAAACGGGCCCTCTACAAAGCTTCCACTCGATCTGGGCCAGGTCAGTTCTGGCTCTCCTCTCAACTCGCTTCAAGGAAACGGCAACTTCTGGCGAGGGGGACCAATGCTTGCCACCCTGGCTGGGGTGACCCTTTCCACGTAGACACCCCCTCCCCTTGTCGCTCCTTCGCGGCTTTGGCACTTTGCCCAAGACATCTTATCAATCTGATCTTCCAGTGGTCCCGACACCTTTCGTTCCAGCTCCTTGGCTGGAGGGGGCGGCCGGGCACACGCTACCTTACTAGCGCGCCATCATCTTATCAGATGTTGCTCAAAAGACGACCAAGTTTTTTACACTAACACAAGCCACTCAGACCCAAAGACCTCAGGCGTCGATTGATAGCGCGAGACGATGGAGTTGTAGTAGCGAGAGGTGCGACTGGCTCGCACGGAACTCGGCATCATTGTCCATCACGTTGCTATTGCAGCTTGCAGAAGAAAAGGGTGGGGAGGGTATCTTTTTCACCTGCAAAGGAGATCAACTAACCAGGGGGCCCCTACAGCCGAGAAAAAGCTTGTCTCCCCGCGCTAAGGCGAACTCGGGTCTCGCCTGGCCTCGCTTCTGCCAAAAGGTGTACCCGATGTGGGCGAGATGGGCGAGATGGTCTGTCAAAGAAGAGGCCATGACTCCATGAGAACTCAAGAAAGAGGGTCTATCGATTATTTTACCTCGTCCCATTCCGTCGGTTTCCGTCGGTGCGGAAAGTGTGGAAATTTGCTTGTTGGACTTGCCAGGATTGTCGAGCGAGCTGAACAGCGAGATCTGTCATAGAAACTCAGGATGAACCGATACACGAGGTTGTTGAGAGGGTTCCTCAAGTACAAAGGACCAGGCACGGAGTTATGGAGTATATGGAATCTTGATCGCTGAGTGTCCATTCAGGGTCGTTCAACTTATCATGGTTGCCAACCCATGGCAAGAAGTGGCAAGATACCTTTTGAGTTGATGTGTCCCATGTGCCCGCTCAATTTCATGAAAGTTGGTTCCAAATCCCTCAGTCCATCAGACTTTTTTTTTTTGGCGGCGATCGCAATGCTATCGATGGAACTCCGCCATCGTTGTCGAGGCAAACTAGTTATAAGCTGTTAGTTGTAAGTAGCATTGTCACGAGTAATGAGTCCGGCCACGGGAACCAGGTGGCTCAATGGTCACCGTCACAGTCTAGCACATCTTTGAACTCATCTCTGGCTTGCCGCCGGCATCCCACATCAAAACACCACCAGCATCCGCCACATTGCTTGCTTGGTGTAGCACCGCTACACCAGTCAACGGCGTTGTACGTTGCCGACGTATGGCTGAAGATCGACAATTGAGCGTCTCAGCGAGAGTCCATTCCGTTGTCCTTCTTGTCAAAGAATAGAAACAGTACAGGGCTAGAGGCAAGTCAATCTGTGTCTTCCCATGTCGATCGTCAGAATCACGGGCCTTTCCTCTACTCCGTACACATCGACCATCAGATCAGAACAACTCACCCACCAACCCTTCCTCGCCCGTCAAAACTCTCAAGGATCGAGCAATATCGCGAGCGCATAAGTGCCTCACGTATCCTTGTCCGTCTGAGGCCCTTCACTCTCCATCAACCCGCGCTAAGCAACGCGAGCCCAGCCCACAGCCACAGGGATGCAGCTCTCCCATGCATGCTTTATCCCCAACACCGTAACACGAAACGAGAAACAGGAACCTCACCCCCCAAAAGTATACGTGAGTTTGTACCAAATCGACTAGAAAAAGCTTGTCATGAGGGAAAATGGTCCGTTCTGCGTGCAACAATGAGACCTCGGCGCTGGTCTAATTGGCCCTACGCCTGGAACCGGGTTTTGGAGCTTGCACCACCTTCGTCCCACGTCCCCTCCTCTCGCCCTCGCGTCAACCTTCCCTTCGGACTACAGTCGGTCCAGAGCAGATGTTCCGCCCTTTCATAAATCCATGATTGATTGCTACCGTAGGAGAAAAGGTCGCCTGATTATCAAGATATGCCTGTGTTCTCTTATTTGCCCTGAGGCAAACTTGGGCTAGCGTTCCGCCTTTCGGCTCGTCGTATCCGTTGCCACCAGACCAACCAGTACCGGCACCCTCATCGGCTAGTCCCAGCGATTATCTGATTTGATTTTATCAGATTAATCTGCGTCTGTGTTGCCCGTCCTCCCCTCTCCACGCTTGTCAGACCAAAGTCTGTTTTCCTCTTCTTCATTCTTCGTTGCTCGGAATCAGTGACCAAGACATCGACAACACGCCCTACGTACAGGTGCCAAAAATGACCGTCGACGTGTTTTCCGTACCAGTGTTCCTGGTCGTCTTTCGAGAGTCTCTGGAAACCGTCATCATCGTGTCGGTTCTGCTGGCTTTCCTCAAGCAGACCCTCGATGGACCCAACAGAGATGTGGCCGTGTACAAGGCCTTGCGCAGACAGGTAAGTGGCATCGATACACTCATGCAGCGAGAACCATTGCTGATGCGCCTTCCCGTAGGTATGGCTCGGTACAGGTATCGGTTTCGTGATATGCCTGGTCGCCGCAGCCGTCGTCATCGCCGTCTTCTACAAGGTCGGCCGAAACAGCTGGGAGGCCCACGAGCTCTACTACGAAGGAGCCTTTTCTCTCCTCGCCGCCATCATCATCACGATCATGGGCGCTGCCCTGCTCCGCATCGGTAAGATGCAGGAGAAGTGGCGCATCAAGTTGGCAAAGGCAATGGAGTCTCCTGTGAAGACCGGTGCCAGCCGGGGGTGGTTCAAGCGCTTCGCCGAAAAGTACGCCATGTTTATCCTGCCCTTCATTACCGTGCTCCGTGAAGGAATTGAGGCAATCGTCTTCGTGGCTGGCGTGTCTTTTTCTGCGCCTGCGGCTGCCGTGCCGCTCCCCGCCATCGTCGGGCTGATTGTTGGTGCCTTTGTCGGCTACCTCCTGTACAAGTAAGTTGTTTTCTTCCTCCTAATTCTGAGCTGCATACTGACAATTGCAAAGGGGTGGTTCCACAGCCAAGCTTCAAGTATTCCTTGTCATCTCCACGTGCCTCTTATACCTCGTTGCCGCTGGACTCTTCTCCAGGGCGGTGGGTGATTTCGAGCAGCAAGAGTGGAACAAGGTTGTCGGCGGTGACGCTGCAGAACTCGGAAATGGACCGGGTTCATACGATATTGACAAGAGCGTGTGGCATGTAAACGTAAGTCTCCTTGTCCCTTCTTGACTGACAGCCCAGTGCTGACCTCCCAAAAGTGCTGCAGCCCAGAGCTCAACGGTGGCGGCGGCTGGGGTATCTTTAACGCCGTCCTCGGCTGGACAAACTCGGCAACGTACGGCTCCGTGATCTCCTACAACGTCTACTGGATCTTTGTTATTAGCTGCTTCCTCCTCATGAGGTTCCACGAGACCAAGGGACACTGGCCTCTCATGAAGGCGAAGGCTCCTCGGGAAGCCGAAAGGCGCCTGTCCGATGACCGTAGCGGAAGCGAGCAGGCGAGCACATCTGAGAAGGATAAGGGAGCATCGACTACGAAGACGGTGACGGCTTCGTCGTAGTTGGAGCGGTGACAATCGAATGTTGTCGTCGAACCTGGGGAAATATGGACGATCATGACTGAAAGGATACCTGTACTGGTGGACAATATAATGTGAAAGCTGTCTGTATGATAATGAGGTCGGAAGGATGGCCGAACTCATAAGATAAATTGAGGTTGAACATTAGCGTGTAACCCTCTCACACTCGAGGCACGTACAATATTCTTTTATGAGACCGTTGGCTTCGGTCAAGTTCCTTCGAATTGTAATGAGACCATGGAGTGATGTCACCGTGTACGTACTCGCCAATATTCAAACGATAGATGTGCAATATCACCCCTCAAGAGCATCTCAACATACTGCTACCTAGGACCGCAGTTGGCACTGTCACAATCAATTTTGATGCTGGAAGGAAAAATACAAACATCTCCATTTGAATCCAAGTATTTCCTGAGTACCGGGTATTGTAGCCTTCATGTCTCTATTCGATCAATACTCTGGCGTCCAATCCCACCTATCAGCAGTAAATAGCCTGCGTGCCATCTTATCGGCATACATGTTGCCCTCGTACCGGAGTCGCTGATCGCCTGCCAAGCTCCTGGTGAATTCAAACTTCTTTTCTTCCCTGTCCAGTTTCGACCCGTCTTCCGCCGAAACCCATGTTGCCGATGCCTGGTTGTTCTTCCATTCGGCCTGGGCAATAGACAAGACATTAGAGGACATCATAGATCTGATGTATTCCACAATAGAGTCCATGCGTGCTCGAATACCGCAGTTGGTGTGGTGCTTGTCTATTTGATAGCTGGGCACCTGCTTCAGAATTGCCAGTATATCTTCGATATCAATGACCGAGGAGTCTGGGATGTTGTTGTAGGAGCTGGGCCCAAAGTCAACAATACCAATCAACTCCTTGGCCGTAAAGAACTTGAGCATCTGGCCCAGCTGGAACGAGTCACAAGCGGAACTCGAGTCGTAACCAAGCTTACATTGTCTCTCACGAGACGAGTAGAGGGCGAGGAAATGGCGATGGACCGAAGCAATGGTGTTCAAAACGCACTCCCGCCGGAACTGTAGCTCCCCTGATCCCAGGTCAGCATATATCATTAATCGAGAAACTAAGACCAAAAGAGCTCACTCTCCAAGCCATCCGGCAGACTCCACCACAGCTCAGTACGTGGGTTCTCATCGAGAGATAGTTCGCTCCATCGGACAGAGCCACGGAGAATCAGCTCTCGCGTGTAGTTATGGAGTCTAGGTGGCTGCTCCAGCAGCCAAGCGACCAGGATCTTCTGTCTAAGCACGTTCTCCGTGTCTAGGCTCTTCTTCTGAGTGCCCGCCCGCACCGGTTTGGCACTTGTCAAAGGCCACTTGAACTTGAGCTCGATGCTAAGGTATCTTGAGACCAGGGATCGACAATCAAATCGATCGGCCAGAATGGCTAGAGTAGTCACATGAAGCATGTTGACAGAGGTGGATTGTATCGGCTTCCCGTGCATGATCCTCATCAAGTCCTCAAAGACCTTTTCCCGGCCGACGGACCGGGTTGCCTCATCGTCATCGACGATTGTGATCCAGGGCAAGTCCCGGGCATCTACTTCAGCCAGCTTCAGCATGTCCGCAGCCAGGCGAGCGAGGGTCTCCTCGACGTTGCTTGCCTCGGCAAATTGTTTGTTGCCAAGAAGATTCTCAAAATACCGAGAGTGCTTCCTCAAGATGGAAAGCTTGACTCGGTAGGCGACTTGAATGTTGGGGCTCAAGTTGGGTTGGGGCATCCGTGGTGCGCCAATCTTCTTACTGGCAGCTTGCCAAGTCCTGCGAGCCACAGCAATGGTCTCTCTGGACGTCTCGAATGTAACGTTTAGAATAATGTCCCCATCGTCGGATATGAGCACAACGGGGGGTGAGTCGCCCGAGGACGGATCCGATGTGTCATCCTGAACTGCTGCCGAGTCTCCCATCGTAAGACAGCGCAACTTGGGAGGGGAATCTCTGCCGCGACTCAGGGACTGACATGTGTGTCGATGCTATACTTGGCCATCACACGGCTTTAGCAGAATAATGTGTCGGTCAGGCAGCCGTCTTGAGATCGAGTGCGTAGGAGTATCCAAGAATGTCATAAATAGTGTCAGTGACACTCATGTCATTCGCCTCTCAAAGAGACAAAGGCCCCTTCTGCCTGCTCGATTCCACCGCAGTGGGTCGGTCTACTGTGTTTCCTTCCTGGAAGAGCTGGGATTTGGCACGGTGCACCCTGGGAGCTGATTAGATAAGATTATCCTTCCATTGTCTTGCCTTAACTTAGGCGGGGCAGCTGTCGGCTGTATGTGCCTTGTTGAGGTACTGTTTGCACCAGAGCAGGTACGGAATAGGTAGGTACCTACACAGCACCTGAGCTACGGTGGGTGGGCTGTACCCGAATCCAAGGGTAGCCTGCGGGATTGGCTGCAGCTAAGACGGGCAGCTGGCAGGGCACGGAGAAGGAACCTCCACGTTCAGCATGTCCCCGTCCCGTCCTTCCTTTCCAGGTCGGTCTTATTACGTCGCTGGGTCCATCCATGATCCAACCGAGGCCGACAGTGTGCCTTGGCCAAACCCAATTCTCCAATTCAACAGTGTCAAGACCAAGTAGTCAATCGCAGAAACAAGCACAACAGCTGCCAACCTAAGCAAACTCAACAGTCCATCTGTCCCTTCCGCCCTTTCGAGACGTATCCGGGGCCACGCACGATATCCAGCTCTGTGGTAGTCCATTGCCAATGCCTCGCCGTCGCCGACGCAACAGCTGACAAGCCTTCCCCTCGTTCGCGCCATCGACCAAAGCTCGCCAACCCAGAATCCCGCTCCCAGGCTCGCCAGGCCGCCGCTCAAGCTTGAAGAGCTATAGCCCATGGCTCTCGCAAGCTTGAAGGTCGTCCTACTTGAGCTGCTGCAGTGCTGGTGACGCTCTCCTTCTCGCCAATCGATTCCCGCCCTTTCGGAACAATGCCAGCTTTAACACGCTGTCTCGCAACGCGACGAATAGCGCCGTATCATGGGACCTCGCGGATGATCTCGTCCACAGCTGTGCGATGCGTATACTCCTCCCTGAATACCAGCATTGGGACTTCCATCGACAAGCCCACCTCTTCCGCACTTCCTGGGCACCCGCCGCGACGATGCTACACCACCCAAGGGCCAACCCCTCGATGGCTTACGACTCGGCCCCGCACGTCACTCAGTTGCGAAGAACGAAGCATACTCAAGAATAGCAAACTATCGAGCTCGAGAAACCGTCGATTATTCCACAACTACTTCGTCACCCATCTGCCATCATCTTCTCTACACCCTGACTCTCGAACGTCTTCCGGCCCCGGTCACAAGCTGCCCCGCGATGCTTCGACCCCCCACAAAGTAACGCCGGGGTCCTCTCTAGTAGCCGCAGCTCTCAACATGCCTAGCCGAGACCTTACAGTGGTCCGGATTCCGCTCAAGAGAGCTAAACATCACTATGGTGTTTTCTCCTCAAGGGGTCAACGACCGTACAACGAGGATACCAACCAAGCTGGCACAATAAGCGTGCCGGCGTTTGCTAAAAGGGCTCCTATCAGTCTTCAGAGGCGGCCGATCCAAAAGCCCAATGAGGCAACTTCGGCTGACAGCGCACTTGGTGACCCCCAGGTCTTCTACTTTGGTATATTCGACGGACATGGCGGATCTCAGTGCGCCGAGTTCTTGCGTGATGAGCTGCATGGCTACATTGAGCAGTCCTCTGATGAGTTTGGCCTCCAGAGCAGCCTGGCAAGGAGCCCGGCACCAGAGACGGGCCGCAAGGAGGAAGACCCCAATGAGGAGCTGTTTATGAAGACGGAGGAAGATGTCAAGGACGACATTCGTGTTCCCGAGGAAGACAAACACGGCGTCTTGACAAATCCCGAAAGAGAGGAGCCCATGAAAGGGGCCAAACCACTCTCGGTCAAAGTAGAAGACATTCCAAAGGCGATCAAGTTGGCACAAGACCTTGTGGAAGAGTATCGACAAACCGTCGGAGGATATTTCCGGCGCTTCAACCCTGAGTACTTCCAACTATCAGAAGAGAAGATGAACGACGCCGACGAGCCCGGGGTGACAGTCGAGTCCGTCCTCATGTACGCCTTCCTCAGAGCAGACTTGGACTTCATCTCCGCTCAGGCACGCAAACCTGATCCCGATGACCCTCAAGCAAACGACCGCCCCGTCAACAACGACGAGATTCTTGGAGTTCCACACAAACCACCATCAGGCCACGGCATTGGTGGCCCGGCTCGCTTCAAGGGCGGATCGACGGCATCAGTGGCTCTCATATCGACACCCACGCCAGCACCATTCTGGCACCCCAATGCGCAGTCTACCCTGGTTGTGGCTCATGTGGGTGACACACGTATACTTCTCTGCACAACGACTACCGGCCTCGCGCAACCCTTGACGTCAGACCATCACCCAACCACTCCCACGGAGAGCCGTCGTCTCCGCCGCTATGCGCCGGCCGGGTCCATGGTGTCGGCAGACAGCTTCGGGGAGGACCGTATCGCAGGGCTGGCCAACAGCCGCGCGTTCGGCGACATGCGAAGCAAACGCATTGGCGTATCGGCCGAGCCAGAAATCACCCGCGTCGAGATTGGACCCGCACAGTACTCCTTCCTAGTCCTGATGAGCGACGGCATCTCGGGCACACTCAGCGACCAGGAGATTGTCGACGTAGTCAAGGAGGCTAGGACGCCCGAAGAGGGCGCCAAGGATGTGGTCAACTATGCTACCGAGGTCTCCCATGACGGCGACAATGCCACCTGTCAGGTCGTAAGGCTCGGCGGGTGGGAGCGTAGGTCGGAGGGCGGAGTCGGCAGTCTCGGCACCAAGGAAATCCGCGACAAGAGGAGGGCGGAGGCGTTGGATCCCCGACGCGGCAAGCAGTAATACTTTACACAACTGCGAGATATCAATCATGCATGTCTTCTTCAAAGTAACGGAGCATTATCACCATCGTTATCACATCTTCAGGAGTTGGGGATCTAGGCACGGGCATTCATCGGTTGGCCTGCCATATGAGCATTGGCAGCAAGGGTTGGTCATTCGAGAGGGACAAGATAAATCATACATACAATTCAACAGATACGAACACTAAGCACGGGAAAAATTATTGCAATTCATACTTCGTGTGCTGCTAAGCACAGTCCCAGGGAATCATTCTCATCAGCCATACGTGGATTGTGTACCCCGCCCCTTCCGACCTAATCCATTTCCGTGTTCCCAAAGACTCCAGTCTGTAACCCTCGACCCGATCGTTAATAGACGAAACCTTCCCCTTACCACCCTGCGCAAATCGATCTAGTAGCGATGCTGGCCTGGATACTGGCTCCAGCCGCCGCCGCCGCCCTGCTGGTGATGCGGAGGGGGTGGACCTCCATGGTGAGGAGGGTACTGAGGCTGTGGCGGTCCGCCGTAGCCCGGTCCACCGTATCCGGCTGGAGGGCCGCCATAGCCCGGTCCGCCATAGCCCTGAGGAGGCTGAGGAGAGCCCCACTGGCCCGGGGGCGGCTGAGGCGGCTGCTGGCCATAGCCTTGGGGTTCAGACTGGCCGCCACCGTAGTAGCCAGAAGCATGACCACCCTGAGACTGGTTTTCCGAGTAGTGGTGGCTGGTGTCACCGCCGCTCTGGTGGTATCCGTAGTCTTGCTGGGATGAAGGGAGGGGAGAGCTTGACAAAGGCTTCCTGTCGTCACCTTCCATGGAACTAAGATCTCGAGTGCGAATTTGATTCCAGAGAGAACCCTGCACCTTGCCGTGTCCCAGCTCTCCAAAGCTGTCGAAGGCTCCATGAGAGTGCGTGTGACCTCCAACGCTCTTCGTGCCATCACCGCCGGACAGAACATGGTTCTTACCAGCCTTGACAGACTCAGATGAGAGCAGGTGAGACAGTTGGTGCTTATGAGGGCTCTCATTTGCCCACTTTCGCACAGTCTCGAACATATCTCTCTGGATCTGAACCCTCTCGTCCCGAGCTGCCGGATGGTGGAAAGCCCGGAGGACATCATTAACGACCTCATCGACAGGCACACCCGGGTTTTCCCAGGCATACAGAATTCGCCTGTCTTTACGTTAGCTATGTTCGAAATCCCCTGTCCATAGATGAAGTCTACTTACGGGACGACATATTGCAAAATGGTCGCAGCAACCCTGCCAGCGCACGAGTTCAGGATGTTGGTGAAATGGTCCTTTGAGAGCATGGAGTGAGTGGGATCAGAGCAGTTGGGGTTCTTCCAGGGCTCCAGCTGAGAGTTGGAGCTTGCGTCAATGACAGTAGATGAACCGTCCTTCAGAACCTTGGAGACCTGTGTGATGATGGGCCTGACAAACGGCGCCAGCAATCCCAAAATGAAGGCAGTTAGCGTCTCACTGATGTGGTCCAAAAGCTTCTCTAGGCCTGGGATCTTGGAAATGATGTTGCTGATGGACTTGACAATCTTGTCGCGGAACTGAAGAATCGGATAGATCTTGCGCGCAGTCTCCACAGGGTCAAAGTTGGTGCTCATACCGGGGACCTGGTTGGAGCTCTCGCGACTGAGGTCACCACGGCTGAGGTCGCCCCCAGACCGAGTGTTCTGTTGCTCTTGTGCGTTCGACTGGGCCTGCAGACTGCGAGCTTGGGTGGCCAGATCTCCGCCAATGCCAGGAAGCTGACCGACGAGGGAGATGAAGTCGTTCGGCTTAGAGGAGCCGATTCCCAAGAAGCCACGGGATCCGGTGCCGCCAGTGATGTTCGCAGACATTCCCTCGGCATTCTTCAAGGCGACATTCATCTCATCTACCTCAGACTGTGTGAAGTGGTCCGTAGCTTCTCCGAGAACGGAGTGCAAGAAGTCCACAGCACCGAAGGTACCCGTGACGATAGGGTAAACACGGCGACCATTCAGGTTGATTTCAGTCTGAGTACCGCAGTGAGGGTAGACCTCGTGGTAACCCAGCTCTCGAAGAGCAAGCTCACAGTAGTTGCTGTGCGCGCTGAAGTCCTCCATACAATGGAGAGCCTGTCCGAGACAGCGCAATGCTTCGCAGAGATCGGCCTCTTTTCCAGAACCCCGCGAACCGCTGGTGTAGACCCGGCCGAAGTGGATGCTGCGGGCGAAACTGAAGCGCAAGTAGCCGGCGCTGGTCGCCCAACCACCAGACTCATTGGCAATGTAGTTCTTCATGCCAGTGCGGGGATCGATCTGTGTCTCAACAGAGTCGACGGGACCACGCAGGCGAGGGTCGAACTTGCGCGCGTCCATGCCATCAGCGTAGCCCAGGGGGTTGTCGATGTGTTCCTCAGGGCGGTAGACGCCGAGGCGCTCCTCGGTGACCTCGAATTCTTCCGTCGCATAGCCAAAGGCCATGAAGGAGAGTACCCATACCTGTCGAAGGAAGTCAGTACAAAGGAAACACCGATACCTACTTCGCTACAAGAACATACCAGGATTCTGATGGTGGGAGCGTTGACTCCCTTCAAGCTACCGACATCGACGGCTTGGGAGTAGTCTCGAAGCCAGTTGCCAAAGTAGACTCGGGATACCAACATGGAGGTCCATTTCTTGCCATGCAAGAAAGCAATGGTTTTGAGCATGTCCTCGATATCTGTGCGCAAGCATGTCAGTCAGCCGTAGGGGTAAGCACAGCAAACAAAAGGGTGCACACCTCCATGACGCCAATTAACACCCTCGACCTAGACGTAGATCGCAATGCATTAGTTTACGAAACGGTGGAATATTGGACGAGGTGTCCAAGGTGTCAGACCTCACCTGAGCAATAGAGGGGATGTTGCCAGCGCCAAAGGCAGCGGCGCGACCTGGCAGAAGCACCAGGAGCAAGCAGAAGGCGAGGAGGATGGAACCTCCCCCGAGACCGGATGACGCCATGGTTCAGGGTCGCGGGAGGCTCGGAAAGCTAACCAGGAATCGGTAAAGACTGGATGTGAAGTTCAGTCGCAAAGATGCGTTGGGTGTTCGGGGGAGCGATGGAGGGGTCGCGCAGAGTATCCGGGTCCACGAGGTCAAGAATGGGCCTTTTTTGTTTTGTTTTGGAGGGGTAAAAGGGCAAGTTGAAGTGAGGTAAGGTGAGCGGGAAGGTTCAAGCCGGGCTAAGGCAGTAGACGAGGTAGGCTCCAAGTCGTTACCTAAGGTGATGTAAGGCACACACGAATGAGGGCAAGGCAGGTAGAGCCGAAGATGATTTGGGGGTCTTGTCGAATTCACAAGTTCAAGCTGGGATTTTGATGAGGGCAGCGCAGCGACAGCAGCAGTCTGCGTCAAGAGCCACGATTTTATGAGTACCTACGTTAATGTCTGGGCGAAATCCACTTGAGCCTTGAGGTAGTACTCACAGCGGCAAAGAGGTGCCGCGAAAGACTTTGAAGGCTTGGGTTGCCAACCTGGGGCTGAGGGGGGGCAGTTTGCTTCTTTGCGACAAGTAGTCTTAGATAGTGCACAGAGTGTAGGCGAGTCGAAAGCACTATTATCAAGGACCGATTGAATGTCCCCGCCACGCATGTCTGAATCACTGCTGACGACACCTCATGCTTCCCTTGCCCTACCTACCTGCCTTTCATCAATACGTTTGGACAGTTCCGTTGGCGAGAGGGGTGGGGGACAGCTGAGCTTTGTGGAAACAAGAGCCGTAGTGTAGGCTCATTGGCTTGCGTCACATGTATGTGTGCCATACTGACCTGCATTGCACCGCCATTGGTAGCACATTTACTGCTAAGTATAATGTCTACAGATGCATCGTGACATGCCAGATCGGGAGACGAGGCAGACGATTCTGAGTATGTGCTATCCCAGGTACCTTAATTACCTTAAAATTGGCGAAGCAATGGACGCATCCACGGCATCTTGCCGGAAGCTGCCCGGCAAGACACGCTAAGGTACCTCAGTTGGGCTCAACCTGGAATGAGCTTGATGAGCATTGACTGTACCCAGATAGGCCCCTCCATTCATTCACCCACTCTTGATTTTTTACCTTTGATTGATTTTAAAGCGGGCTCAAACACGGCGGCAGCATTGGAAAGCTGGGCTGTCTATGGTTAAGGTAAGCCAAAGAAAGCTGTAGGTAACCAAAGTCGAGGGACAATGGAAGTCGCCAGTACTTGTGCAGGCGACCATCAGATGCGCAGGACCTTGAAATACCTTATTTGGCTCCTGGCTCCGTGCCCCGCCTCTCTGTGCGCTGAGCTCAGCACAGCAGACGGCGACTGTCCCCAAACACTGAGTGCCCCTCCATCAGGTGCGCCCGGACTTTCTCCCATTACGCGCAACAGGGTGGGGTCCGACTTGTAGGGCAGACCCGCGCAAGGAGCTCCGCCATTGGCCCAACTCGAGGGATTCCATTCCGATCAAGTAGACGGTACCTGGACCAACACCATGCGTCCCTGGCAGATTCCAGGCTTGTCCCCAGCATCTCGTCCAGCCCGACGAGATGATCAAGCATGTTTGCGTGCCAAAGACGGTCTAGCCGCCTTGTTCGTTTCCGGGTCTATCATTCTTTCAGTCTTGGGCGCGACTTAACTTTGATACTGACAGCTACATTTGTGTGCGGGGGATTGATACTGTGATATACTGGGTGGTCAGCCTACCTTGGTAAGGCCAAGGCAGGGAGATGAACAGGATCCAGATAAACGACCTCTCCGTCCGGATACTTACCTACTTAAGGTGACATAAGTCACTGCCAACCTGTTCAGCTCAGAGAATGAGGCCAGAAGACTAATCAGCCCGAAAGGCACTGTTTGGAGGACCCAACGCGTGGCTCATCAGCCACAAATTATAACCTTGAAAGCTGCACACAGCTCCTGTGAGGTGGCTGGATCATGTTGATTAGGTAAGGCCATGTGAGCTGAGGTAAGGTACCTTGGGTATGAGCATTGAGGCATCCGGGTGGACTGCACGTGTAATCAATTTGGTAGACTTATCGCAGGTACGTACTTGTATGCACCTCCCATCTCTGGCTCATGCATCAATATGCGTGCTGTAAGAAGACGCTTCAACTTGCTTCCACTAACTCAATCTCAGACTCGACCCCAACAATGCTCGCTGTCACAGACCGCCGCCGCTGCCATCGCGCGCCACTCACTGCGATCTTGGTCCTCGGGTCGGGGGGTCACGGCCCATGGCTGGATGTGCTAAGACTGTGGGAGGCCAAGAGCCCATTCCCGATCTTATCTGGAGTGTTCCAAGACTGCCCCTCGATTGCAAGCCACGAGAAGCCGCCTCTTAAGGCTCTTCTTGCTCGGGATCGATGGAATGGTACCTTGAGGTAGTTACACCGCTCCCCCAGCGGCCTCACGGCTCGATGTTCGTTTCATGTGATTTATTACTGATCGTTCATTCGAAAAATCTACCAAAAACATAGGTCGGTCAAGACGGACGCGGAGAAGGAATCATCATCCACTCACCGACACGGATGCCACGACAGCCCATCTACCAGTAAATGCCTAGTAAATAGGTACTCGAAGGAGCCCTCTGCACAGACCTGACAACTGGGTCGATCTGGCTGGGCCGACAGCCGACAGCATTGTATCTTAGTGACTAGTCCTGGATTTGCTTATTGCCTGAGCCTTGAGGTGCTGGGCTCGGTGATTGTCGCGAACTAATTCCACCGGGATTAAGTGACCATGAAAATGTCCATGTAGTCACCATTTCCCGCCTCAAACTGCCATGCAACTTTTCCCTACCCCCCTTCCGCCTTTCACCTTCAGATTTTTGCCGAACTTGCCCAATGCCCATTTCACCCGTTTGAAGTTTCGATGTTCCCCTGCCTGTTGGTCTGTTCTTGTGTGGCGTTTCTTTCTTGTTGCAGTCGTGGCAACGACAAAGTACCGCGGGGTGGGCATTATGTGCCCTTTCGTAGATGCTCCTAAGTCCCCGTTCCTGGTCTTCCGTCCCAGGCCATGTTTGGGTTACCAACAGCGGTTCCCACACCTCCCCGTCAGTCCCGCATCTTGAGTAGGTACCTGACTCCTTCCTCGCCCACCCCTTTGGCTACCGTAGTCTGTAGTCTGTACCCATACAGTCTGGCATTGCCAACCCCGTCACTCATTGCCCCTTCTGGATGTGTTCGACTGTGAGGTGAAAGATGCAATTTCGGGGTTTGTAACTTTGTATCCATCTGCTCCCCCTCCCAAAGAAAAGACAGAAAAGACACTCGCACAGTGTAAACCCTGAAAAGCCGGGCGAAAGTGGTCAACAGGTGGAACCACGAATCGGCTGTCCAAGCTTCCGCCAGGTCCCGTTCTGTGCCAAAGTAACGCCACCAGGCCGTATTTTTTTCTAGCCTAGAGAGATTGCTAGTCGCGTAGAGAGCTTCTCCTTGGCCCTGCCACTACGCCTGCTCTCCACGTCCACCTCACGTCCCCCGATCCCCAAATCAAACATCCCCCCCTAAATTAATTCTTCGACCCGTCTCCGTCCTCTCACCACCCTGTGCCCACCGAGCCTCAAGTCACATCGCCCCGGCCTTTCAACCTCGCCCTCCCGGCCCTCCCGGCTTTTGGCTCCTTTTTCTCACCATAGACCGCCTGCTTTCGCCCATCCATACATACACTGTACCGCATCTTAATACTTCTTCCCTCCGTGCCACTTCTTCCTCCAACCTTCACCTCTCGCTCTCTCCTTCGCTAGGGCCTGCGACTGCGACTTCTGCTGCGATTCCACCCGTCCACTCCCTTTGTTGTCTTTCAACTCCTATTTCGTCCACTTTGGACTCGGGCGCTAGAAACCCTCTAGCGACAACAGCAATACTTTCGACCCATCCTTCTCTGCCGTTTACGTATAGCCACGAACAAATCGTCAAAGAATCAGCAATATGCCGGCGCGAACTCTCCCCACCTTCACTCGCACCGAGGTCGAGGCTCACAACTCCAAGAAGTCTTGCTATGTCACCATCGGTTCCAACGTATACGATGTGACCGACTTCGCTCAAGATCATCCCGGTGGAGCCGATCTCGTCTACGACTACGCTGGCAAGGACATCGATGCCATTCTGCGCGACCCGACCTCTCATCCTCACTCCGAGGCCGCATACGAGGTTCTGGATGACTCTCTGGTTGGCTTTGTCATTAACCAGAAGACCGTTAACGGCGTCAACGGGGTTCGCAAGGTCAATGGCACAGCAAATGGCAAAACAAATGGACATGCGAATGGAAACGGAAAGGCGAATGGCGACGCCAACGGAACCGCCGAGAAGACTGAAGAAGCCGAGGGCGTTCAGATGAACGAGCATGGCGAGCTCTGGGACGGCGAACGTTGGGTCCATCCCCGGACCGGTATGGCCAGCGAGGAGGATCTGAGCAAGGAAACGGACTACACAAACGATTACAAGAAACACAAGTTCCTCGACTTGAGCCGCCCTCTGTTCCCTCAGATTTGGTTCGGCGGCTTCAGCAAGGAGTTTTACCTCGATCAAGTCCACCGCCCTCGCCACTACAAGGGCGGTGAGTCTGCGCCTCTGTTTGGCAACTTCTTGGAGCCTCTGTCAAAGACACCCTGGTGGGTAGTCCCGCTTGCGTGGCTTCCGCCCGTCGCCTACGGTACCTATCTGGCAAGAGAGGGCATGGATAGCACCTTCCAGGAGATCTGCTACTGGGGCTTCGGATTTTTCCTCTGGAGCTTGATCGAATACGTCCTGCACCGATTCCTGTTCCATCTCGACAAGTAAGTTTCATGGTTTCATTTCAGCGTGGCAAGATCATCAGGCTAACATGTTCAATCAGGTGGCTTCCTGACAACCGTGTTGGCATCACTGCACACTTCCTCCTCCACGGCATCCACCACTACTTGCCCATGGACAAGTACCGCCTAGTCATGCCACCCACCTTGTTCGTTGTTCTCGCCACGCCGTTCTACAAGCTCGCGCACTGGGTTTTCTCGTACAGCTGGCACGCTGCCACGGCCGTCTACTGCGGAGGCATCTTCGGCTACATTTGCTATGACTTGACGCACTACTTCTTGCATCACCAGAACCTCCCTCTGTGGTACAAGGAGCTCAAGAAGTACCACCTTCAGCACCACTTCCTCGACTACGAGCTTGGCTTCGGAGTCACCAGCCGGTTCTGGGACAGCATATTTGGCACTGAACTTCCTCCCATTGTCAAGGCCAACTAATTCCACTCAAACCACCGCACACGACCGCAACATACACCATGTCATGATGACGACTTCTGGGGCCTATTCCTAATACCGAACCGAGCAAGTTTGCTCATCTTCACCCTCACGTGTCCCGCAATGTATATACGCTTTTAGGGCTTTACTTTAACGCTGTAATGGGGGGTCGTTTCATGGGCGTTCTTAGGAGATGGCTCGAATGAGCCTTGCGTATTACAGCGCCCTGGCCAGCTATGATGCGGCCAGGAAGAGCCGTCATGTTCTCATGACAGGCTGTTTTAGTACAGAGTATTTTGAATGATACCACACACCGAGATTATGCCATAAAATGACTAGACAGCACGTTCATTTCCCGTCCAACCATGACCGTAACAGGTGATGAGTTTGATGTTTGCCCATGGCGAGGATCATAGCTTGGTGGAGGAACGAATGGAGTAGCTTTGTCGACGCCATGGGCGCATCTGAACGGCGAACCGTTGCAGCAAACGTGTTCACGGGCAGTCGTAGAGGGGGTCTGGTCGGGCCTCGAGGTTGAAGTCAGTTTGGCATGTTGCAATGCTGCATCCTTAACTTCTACAACCCTCGGTCATGTGTTCGCATGATCTGGAAGTTGCGCAAGGTGAGGAAGGTGTATTCCTCATGGCTCAGTCTCTCAGAGGCAAGCGTTATTCGTAGGTACTCCTTAGTCGTCTAGCGTAAGATAAGGTAGCTAAGGTACGATGCTACCTACCGTGGTGTGTGGAACTTGCCCGTCTGAGTCAGCATTGTTATTACATAAGTCACTCACCTCGATTGCTGCCAGTGGCCACCTTCCAGATTTGCTTGGCTGGCAGGTCCTCCTACAGTGCTTGGGCTGTCCCTAACCCGATTCACTGTCTCGCCTGGCCCAAGATTTCTGTCTGCCGCTTTCGTGTGGCTGCGCCAACCTCTCCATCCCACGAACTACCTCGCTCTTCCCCTCTGCAACCACGCCACGATAAAATCTGCCATCTAGAAAAGCTAGACAGCAGACAAGGGAAAGAAGCGCCGACTCATCCTCCCTCACTTCCACTTTGAAAACCAGCGCAAGATGTCGGGCCTAGACGTAGAGGCGTTGCTTGACGCCACCGCAAAAAGCTCTACCGAGACGAAGACACACGACGTCGAAGAACGCCCCAACGGCGACCGTTCCGAGCGCAAGGAGCGCGATCGCGGCCGCGATGGAAGCCGCGACAGGGACTACGATCGTCGTCGTCGAGACCACGGGCGTCGCGACCGTAGCAAGACACGAAGCCGACGCGGAACCCCGGACGACATCAAGACATCCACCCCCCGGAGCGACGCTGGTAGCCACAAGAGTAGGCGGAGAAGCAAAAGCCGCGATGATGACCGCCGTCACTCACGTCGTCACAGAGGAGATGGTGATTACTACAGAGGCGGACGAGCCCGCTCGCGATCTCGGTCACCCCACCGCTACCGCTCATCACGCGATGACTATCGCGAGCGCCGTGATCGCTCCGATCGCTACTCCGGGGACCATCGCCGGGCTAGGGATGACGATCGTCAGGAAACTTCCAAGCGTGAGGCAACACCACAACTTACTGAAGATGAACGCGATCGCCGCACTGTCTTTGTCCAGCAGCTCGCCGCCCGTCTTCGCACACGCGACCTGAAGGCATTCTTCGAGAAGGTCGGCCCTGTCAATGAGGCTCAGATTGTCAAAGATCGCATTAGCCAAAGATCCAAGGGGTATGTTCAAGTTCCACCAGAGTTTCGCCGAAGACTCGCTAACCATGTCTACAGAGTCGGTTATGTTGAATTCAAGAACGAGGAATCAGTCACGCAAGCGCTTCAACTTACCGGACAGAAATTGTTAGGTATCCCTATCATCGTCCAGCTCACAGAGGCCGAGAAGAACCGACAGGTTCGCAATTCCGAAACCACCAACGCTCACCCGAACTCGATCCCCTTCCACCGCCTCTATGTGGGCAACATTCACTTCAACGTCACCGAACAGGATTTACAGGCCGTCTTTGAACCTTTCGGCGAACTTGAATTTGTCCAGCTCCAGAAGGACGATAATGGACGCAGCCGAGGCTATGGATTCGTGCAGTACGTTCCGGTTCCCTCCTACTCAATGTTTAGGGCAATACTAACTCTTTATAGATACCGCGAAGCTAGCCAAGCCAGGGAGGCCCTTGAGAAGATGAACGGCTTCGATCTTGCCGGTCGCCCGATTCGCGTTGGCCTCGGAAACGATAAGTTCACCCCTGAGAGCACTGCCAACATCTTGCAGAGATTTCCTGGCCAAAACCCACAGTTCCAAGGCTCTGCATTCTCTGGTGCGGGCGGCCGCGGCCCCCAGACATCGGCATTCGACCGCGCGGGTGGAAGAGATAGCGAAAAGTCTGGCGGCGCCAGCGCCCTTGACGACACAGATGTCGCCGGTGTCAACTTTAACAACTATAGCCGTGATGCCCTGATGAGAAAACTTGCCAGGACTGATGATGCTTCCAACGGAGTAGATGAGCGACAAGTGTTGAAGCCCAAGACTGAGACCAAGCCCCTGCCGGTCAACGTCAACATGGCCAGCCGATGCGTTGTCCTGCACAACATGTTTGACCCTGAAGAGTACGTTAGCTACTTTCTCCCGCTCTCCTTTTCATACGGTGCTAACATTCAATTAGGGAAGAAGGAGAGGAATGGGTCAAGGAATTGGAGGATGACGTTCGACAGGAAGCAGAAACCAAATACGGCCGCGTCGTACACATCTCCGTCGATCCGAACTCCAAGGGCGACATCTACCTCAAGTTCGACAAGGTCCAAGGTGGCGAGAACGCCATCAGAGGCCTCAACGGTCGTTACTTTGGAGGCAGGATGATCGACGCGTCACCTGTTGTAGATGCCGTCTACAGCAGTTTGTTCTCTCGCACACGAGCGATCTAAAAGCTAATCCATGGCCCCGAAAATACTCGTCTAGGACCCCCCCCTAAAGTAAGTTCTTACATATTTATATCATTCTACACTCGCTTACAAGATTACTAGGCCGATGCCACCGTTCTCCAATCTCGCTCATTAGATTGAGCCCTGACGACCGCGAGACTTGTACCGTTGAGCCGCCTCTGGCCGCCATCCGCGTCCTGCCAAGTCTTTGTCACGTCAGAGACCCAGGCCTACCTACCCCAACATCACTGGAGAGCAGGTTGACATCGCACTGATTCTATGCAGAGAAAGCTTTGATTGCACATTCGATCGCCAATTTTTTCTGGCTGATATTTGTACCTTAGGTTGTTCCCTTCCAAGTCCTCCATTTACATGCGGAGCGAATGACCGGTTGCCAAAAACGGCGTCTGGGTAAGGAACAAAGGAAGCTGTAGTTTATGCACCACATTAGGTACTAAAATTGTTCTTAGCAAATTTTGCTTGATCTTTAATGAGCCGGCGAGATGGTTAGCTGCGGTTGGTTATATCGTTGTCGTCTCACTTGCACCGAAGTTGCGTAGCCCGTTCAAGTTATCCAACCTGGCCATCAGGCTGGATGTGAGGCTGTACAACTGGCAGCGATGTTCATAACTTGTGACGGCGAGAGTACTTGGTTAACATTCACTGCCGATAGCTCAGTACTAGGCCCCATCTCATTCTCTAGGGCTATATCTCCTCCTTTCCACTCTGTTTGTTCTGTCTAAGGTACCTACTAGCCCTGGTCATAGTACCGAGATATGACAACATCTCGACTGTGGAATCGGACTATCTTTGTCCTCAAGCTTGACCTCTGGTCCTGCCAGACCTGTGTATGCTCGAATGAGTAGTGCTCTTGAGTGCAACTAGAAAGGTTTCCAAACCGCTAGCGGTTCTATGCCAGCTACCTTCATCAACTCCATGGGCCTGAGCAGGCTGGCTTTTGCAAAAATCCACTTGCTCTCATCTTTCTTCTTCCCTTCTTCTCTTTCTCCTTGATCATTAGACATACAAAGAGCTTTCTTCAGTCATGTATGAGGCAATCGCACCGGTGTCGCAGCTATCCTCCATAGCTAGGCAGGCTACTTCCCCCTCAATTTCAAGCCTACGAATTTGTCAGGTCATGTGCCCATCTTGACACTTTCCAAGATAGTCTCTTTATCAAGACTACCTTCACGCACTGAATTCTCGTGGGTGCGAGATGACTCTCAGTCAAGGCAGTAAGTTCCATCTTGTTGCTCGTGATGAGGAACAGTGTCCTTACTATTATGGATTCACTCTCTATGCCTTCCCAAGCTAGACATAATCTCTTCATTGGTGCTGTGGGTTTCTTTCCGTCTGAAGCACAACGTCCTCCTTTCGTCTGAAGCTATATTCGTGCCTCATCGTATTTCTCATCACAATTCAGCTCTTTCGTCCGACGGCTTCACGGGTTGATTCAATCATCACATAAACTTTCTATCGGAACACAACCTGAGATTACCACAACATCATGCGTTATTATGACAATGACTCTCTCTCAAATTCCATAATCATTTTTGATAACCAAAGCTCGATTACTTTCCTTGTCAGCCTACTGCATGACTTGACGATACGAACATACACAAACCCCTGCAAATATCGAGAGCTACCAAACCCCTTCAGCATGTCAAGGTCGAGGAAGGCATCGTGAGATCTGGATATGGCGGGACCCCCCTGAGTACTCCCGCCTCTTCAGGTGAGAATGTCATGTTGAGAAGGAGAACCAACTATTCCCACGTGCTCTCTCGCCCGAACACATGAAGGGCCATGTGCAAATTCTTTCCCCCTGAGCTCTCGCCTTTCTGAGGGTGAATAAAATTTCGTTGCCTCTAGCTCTCGCCTTTTTAAGGACATGTGAAATATCTTGCCACTGAGCTCTCGCCTTTTGGGGATACATGAAATATCTTCCTCCCTATAACTCTCTCTTACCCTTCTGGTGATATACGATTTCAGTTCGTCCTGTGCTCTCGCCCTTTTCAGAATGAGTGCAAGCTATTATCGTGAGCTCTCGCCCTTTTGAGGATACCTGAAAACTTTTCTCCCACTCTTCTCTTCTTTCTTTGCCCACCTCACCATCCTTTCTTCACCACAACCTCTTCCTTCCAACATCATCTACGCCCATCCATCTCTTCTCTCACCCATACTTATCACATCATACTTCTCTCTCTCCCTTACCCCTCGGATTCCATTATCAAACTCCTATCGAAATTCCGTCCGCTCGAATCCATACATCCAACTTGCGGCTCCAAGAGGCTCTCTCTGGACGCCTGCTTGGTCGAAAAACGGTGTTTTCTGCTAGCAGACAGCACTTGAGTAACGTTACCAAGGTAAGGACACTCTTCCCTACTCCCATCGGCGCCTCTATCGTCTTCTGATCAGATTGCTCCCTTGACGCGGCTCACTGACCAACTAACTATTCTCAGGGTTTTCGCCCCGACAGCATCGTTTGCTCTACAAGGAGCTCCAGAACACGACCGTCCAGCCCTCGTGCCCCTCATCGGATTTCGAGCTTGCCTCTAGACACCAAGGCTCGACCTGAGATCACTAGAAGAACGCTGGAACAATCTTGTCGTCCTTCATCGACTCTTCGGTAAGCTCTCACTCCTCTATTCGTTCTCGAGATCCAGCTGACAAGAAGAACAGATTATCAGAACGGAGTCGCCAGACTTTGCTTGACTTGCTCATCCTTTGCAGATCACTGGCTTCATAGCTCCAACGATTCTCCAGACAAGGGCAAATATTTGCTTCAACATTCAACGGCACCGTCGAGTTTAACAATCTTGCTGTCTCGGTATGTGGCAATTCTCATCAATCTGTGATCTTTCCTCTCGCTCGCACGTTTCACCTTTTTGCTCTACTTTCTCATACTGCTACGAACTCTACATGGCTAGGCCATGTGGCTCGAGTCACCGTGTGACTGAAGTGGCCGTCACCATCTCTTCCTCTGTGGCCTCGAAGACAAGTGTCTGGGGAACAAGCTTGCACATTGTTCAATTATCCACATGGCCTCATTTCTTCCTCTCATTCTTCCAGTGTCAAATGGCTCTAGCTCAGCTACAGGCCAGCTCAAGTGGGTTGACGAGTGGATGTTTTGGCTGTTTGGCAAGGTGCATAGATCCAGGGATGTCACCAGACTCACCGGGGCTCACCGGGGCTCACCTGGGCTCACCTGGGCTCACCTGGGCGAGGTGGTAGAATGGACACTGCCTACTTCACCCTACCTTACTCATCTATGTGTGTATTCTCCTCGAAATTTCCTGAGTGCCCCTAAGGAGCTAGTGTGGGCTGCTCCTGCCTTCTTGGAAGATATCAACTCTTTTTTTCACTTTTCTTTCTCAAATCGTCTACAACCCCTCCACCACTTCTACATCCCACCCTCGAGATTTACAGAGCTTCTCAATCACTCAACCTCTTCGCCCATTCATCACCAGTCTAGAAATATTCCACGAGTATTTCCACATTCTTCAAGACTGCCTTTCACTTCATCCTACACCTCCCGAGCGCCCATACCTTTCCAACGCAATCGGCCTTGCGTAGTCACGATGGCCCACCCAGGCAGCGCGAGCTCTGGCTCTGGACGCGGAGGCGTTTGTCTCGCCGAACATTCGCCTCAGTTTGCGGCGACTCGCGAATCCTTCCGAAACACTCCCAGCTCGTCTTCTGATAGCACCATTCGCGATGCCCAATCACCTTCAGATGTCTTTGCGGCCGATCTTTCTAACCAAAATTCGCAGCCCAATCACAGGAACTACCAGCTGCCCCAGCCACCGAAGCTCCAGCCGACGAACCTCAATTCCGCCAGGAGTCAGGATCAGGGAAACAATCAGAACCCAAATCGTGCTGTCAGTCGGAATCCTTCCCATTTCTCAACAGGAAAGGCTTCTTTTCCCTCTGAGAGAACGGCATTTGCAACTCCAACTGGTCGTTCTGCCGTACAGCCGAACGCCTTGGGACATCGATCTGGCCCGTTGCCGTCTGCTACATCTATCCGTGACTTCGGAATTACCACCAACGTCAAGACTCCTGGCCATCATACTCCGGGCTCCTTGAACAACGACACTCGACGAATCCAACAGGTTCCTGCCCCTATCGAGGACAAAACGAAGCTCAAGCCAAAACTTGAACTCGTAAAGACGAACGAGATTATCGCAAAGATGGCTACTCACTGTCAGATTGACGGACCTTTGGCTGGCCCTCTCCGGGAGAGTCGCCGCTCCGAGCTGGCCAGAGACCATGTAAGTCACATTTTACACTTGGAGCCTTCTTTCACCTTCAGCCGGGCTTCTCATCGCCCTGTATCCATCCTCACCTTCCATCTTCTGTTTTTCCCTGTTTCAGCTTTCGTTCATTGCGCTAGACCAAATTACTGACCGAGAGATGAAAGCCTGCTTGGATTCCCGCTCGGCAAGTTCAAGCCGGAATTATGACTACCCAGCAGGCGATCCGCCGCACTCCTGGTATTCCGGCCAACATTGCCAACGACCTTTGCGATGGCCTTCAGGTATACTCGCAAAAGGTTAATGACATTCTCCGCCAGGCTGTCAATGAGGTCGCGGACATCAGAATCGATCTCGAGTACAACGACAAGGTTCTTTGCTCCAACAAATTGGAGGCCAGTATCATTTCCGAGGAGCGTGAGCAGCTCAAGCGTGATGTTGCCGAGGTTCACCGCAAGTACGAGGAGTTGGAGGATCGTCTCGCGCGCTACCACGTCGAGCAGGAGAACCACAAGAACACGGTTCTCGAGTTCTTGGCCCGCCTCGATCCTCGCAACAACGAGGAAGATGAAGATAGAGAGCAGGTTGTGACTGAGTTGCTTCAGGTACGTTTCCATGATTCTTGGTGTTTGAAGAACTAGCTCAGCTAATGACACCAAAACAGACTCTTAAGGACTTCATGGACCGCCCCAGCTCCCGCTGGATGCACGGAGAGCGTGAGAACTCTTCCAAGGCTATTGCCATTCTCAGTACCGAGAGCATCGCCGCGCTTGAGAAAGAAAATCAGCCCCAGTCGGCTAAGCGGCTCCAGCGATCTCAAGATGCACGTCTTGCTCGTGGTTCTGAATCTCATGAGATGGTCCCCACCTTGGACAATGCTATGCAGCCGTTCCACTACCAGCAGAACATGGTGGGCTTTCCACCTGCCCAGAATGGCCCTCCCACTTCATTCCCGGGCATGTATGGCCCTGGTCGTCGCTCTGGGTCATCCGCGGGCTGGACACGCGCATCTAGCGGCGCCCATACTCAGCATGCCGGTTCTTACCCGCGAACCCGGGACATTCAGAGCGGTTTCAGCGGCGGATTCCAGCAGCCCAACGGCTTTGCGGGTCCCAGCAACCACCGAGGCCAGTTCGACGTGCCGTCTCGCCCTGGCACTGCCATGGGCCACCGCAACTCGTTCCGTCCTAATGCTCCTGAGTTCCACCCAGGCATGTACGGCAACGCGGACAACAGTGGCTTCCATAACGATCCGTCTTACAACATCAGTTACGGTCTAGGATCCAATGCTGGCTCTCGCCATAACTTCAACGGAGGCAGCACCCCTTTCCGCAGCCCGACCCCTCGTTCCGCTGCTCACTACAGCAACTTTGAAGGACCTGGTGGTGGCTTTAGTCGCCCGTCTCCTCTAGTTCCTTCGGGTCGTCAAGGCTCACATGGTTCCCAGTACGGTATGGGCTCGAACCACATGGGATACAACAATGACTACTCGATGGTTCCGCAGCGCACTCGTAGCCACGGCCCCAACTCGTCCGGTAACAGCCACCATACGGCTAACATCCGTCAACAAGGAGCTTTCAGTCCCGGTCCATTTGGCCAGGGTGGTAATGGCCCTAGCCATGCAGTCACCAGTCCCTTAGCTCCCGGCAACGGCTTTGGCGAGGACGAGGGCGGTGACAATGAACGCTACGCTCGTGCTCTTGAGGGCGTTTGGGGTCTTGCGCGGGGCTAGGTGCTCCAGTTTGCCTCGGACGTTGACCTCAGCATTCTGTCGCGCTCTAGCGATGTTGCCATCCTTCGTTACATGATGAAGCTCTATGCTCCCTTCAGCGAGCAGCAGGCGTGGTCCTACATCCGCCAGCACATGAACGACCCCATGAGCCGCGCTTGTCTCATCTCTCGCACCATGATTGACCTCCTGGTTAATCGAATCTTCACTTCTGAGGCCTGGGAGGGTTTTTCGGTTGATGCTGATCGCCAGCTGCGTGAGATTCGCCACGAGATGAAGAATCTCCCTGGTAAGTTTGATCGCTCACTTCTTATGATGCAAGACTATGGCTGACATACCCATACAGCGGGTCAAGGCGGTGCTCTTCAGGTGTGTATTGACCGAGTTGCATCCATTGTCAACTCTTGCGTCAACCACGAGCGCTACGACGCCTACCGCAACCACCGCATCGAGTACTTCCAGGCTGAGCTCCGCGAGATGCTTTCGCCTTTGTTGCTGCCCGAGTCTGAAGGTGGTCCCGACCTCGAGAGGGCCGACGAGGTGCTTCGCCAGATGTGCGAGAAGGCATGGTCCATCTCGGCGAAGATGTTTACCTCGCGATGGACTTTCGAGTTCCGCTTCCCCGACACTGGAGCGCGGTTCAACACCGGAACCATGGTTGGCATCGCGCCCAACATTGGCCCGCAGCTTCTGCAGGCTGAGCATTGGCGCGTGCAGTTGGTGGTTACTCCCGTCATCACCGTCCGCAACGATACGGGCACTTCCATCTCTGTTGCCTCCATCACCAGCGCTCACGTTATCTGCATGAAGTAGTCGGTGGCCTCGCGCCAAATCTACTTCGTTGCTTTTCACTCTGCGTTCTTTTTTCACCAACGAAGCTTCCTCTAAGAACGAGGAAGCCGATGTACGACTTACGATTCACGACACGCTTGCGATTTTGCTTTCTCCTGGTCTCTTTACGGGGCTCTCCAACGGCAACCATAAAAAGAAAAAAAGAGCGGCAGTTTCACCGCTGCCAATGTTGCCTTCCGAGAGCTCAAAATCAGAGCCATCACCATTAATATTATTATCAGCAAGGCTCTCCCCACATCGCGAGAGCAGTGCCAACAACAGGCAAAGTTCTCAACACGCAGAGAACAGTACCACCATCACCAGTACAGCACTGGGCGCGGTCTATAGGACCAAAAACGTCAAAAGCCTTAATGATCTTTGGGAATCCCACGACTTGGACTTCTTCTCTCTCTCAACATGTTGGAGTATTTGGACATGCGTCCCCGATTCCTTCAGCTCCATTGGGAACCAACTTGCGAGACCTTTGGAACATCTCGGAGGATTGGGGGATGGATACAGGAAAAATTGGGTTCGAGATTGGCAGTTGCGGAAGAAAACGACGAAATCACAAAAAAATCATTTGCTTTTCGGTTTTTCTTTTCCTTTTGTTTCCAGGGGGAACGTCCCTGGCTAGGTACATTGGTCACTGAAGTTTCTAGCGGAATTTCGAGGAAACATGTGTCGTGGCCGAGGGACTGGATCTGGCTCAGAGAAAATTGGCGATAGAAAAGTACAAAAAAAAGCATAAAAGTCTTGTAAAAAAAAAACTTGGTCTCCCGGTTGATCGTGATTTGAAAACGTGGACGTGATGAGGTAAATCTGCAGGTAAGAGAGCTAGGCGGGGCTTCAACGATATGCCCAAGGAATCTCTGCCATAGTAGGCTCATCGCACTTCAATGTTTAAGGTTGGGAGTAATTGACATGCCCGTGAGATGAAGTTTCCCATCGCCGCTGTTACATCACTAGAAAAGAAATACAAGTTTGGTTGCGTTGCGATAATTCATTGATGTCAACACGCTCTACTGGCGCGTTGGTCTGTTCGGCATCAGTTGTGCCGTCTTCGTGTATACATGCAAGCAATGAAGACTAGGGTATTTGATCTTCATCTGTCGTGAGTCGTCCGTTTCCAACTCCATGCAATCCTCTATCCTTGAACCACTCTATTACGTCTAGTCGGATGACTTGCGGAACTTGTTGACGACGCGCTCGATACCGTCGCATCCCTTCTTCAGGGTCTCCATCTTGGGGCCGTAGGAGAAACGGACGAAGTGATGGCAAGGGCTGTCGAAGAGATCACGACGTCTGGAGGGGTTCAGGTCGAAGAAGATACCAGGAACGACGATGACCTTCTCCTCAAGACAGGCCTGGAAGAAGTTGAGACCGTCGGCAATGGCCTCGGGGAGACCCTCAAGGTTGAGCCAGCTAGAAGTTGTCAGTCTAGGCGCTTATCCGCGGCTCTTTCAACGACAGAAACTCACAGGTAGAAGGTGGAGTCAGGTACGTATTTGATGATGAATCCCATCTCGCGGAGTCTGCGAACGACGTAGTCACGCTTGTCCTGTTTGCTTGTAAGAAACTGTTAAACCCAAAGCCGCTCACTTGACTTACGCGGAAGTGTCTCTGCAGGGAGATCATCTCTGTCTTGACGAGAGCAGGGTCGAGCATGGGAATCGCTGCCTCCTGGAAGGGGTGGTTGGCACCACCGTCGAGGTAGCTACCGCAAGAGCCAATGCTAAAGTTGTGTCAGTATCCTAGTCCCTAATACCGATCTCACGGTCACCATATCCTAGACATGTGAAGGGAGAACTTACGCCTTGATGTATTCTGCAAAGCCATGTTAGCAAGTGGTTCATCAGATCCATGAAACATCAATCACATACCCTTGGGACCAATGATCCACGCGACACGCCAGCCAGGAAGTCTGAAGCGCTTGGTCAAGCCGTCAATGATGAGAACATCATCCTCGTCGACATCCTCGACGTTCTCGGCAGCAGAGATGGTACTGCCGTCACAGTTGCTCGTGTAGTTGTAGCCGGAGTAGAACTCGTCGCTGACGAAGGTGGCACGGCCACGGCAGATATCCTGGATCTCGGCCAATTCGGGGTTGGCAACTACACGACCGGTGGGGTTGCGGGGGTTTGAGGTCAGGATGACAGAGGAACCACGGGAGATCTCCTCGGCGATGCGGTCGGGGTGGATGTGGTAGCCGTCCTCCTCAGCCAGAGGGACAGGAATGGCAGAGAACTGAGTACCCGGTGTCAGATGCTAGTCATTCTTTCATGCTTCAAAATCAGAAGGAGATACATACGTTCTTGAAGAGAGACAACATCTCGTTGTATGCCGTGTAGTCGGGCAAGAAGAAGGAGAGGTAAGAGTTTCCGAGGACGGCAGCGATACGGATCAGACCAGCGCGACCACCGGGGACGATGGCGACGTTCTCCCAGGTGTACTTGCTGTCCTTGCCCTCGCGGTGCATGACGTTGTAGAGGTTGGCAACGGCTTCGCGGAGTTCCTTGATACCAGCAGTAGGACCATACTCGCGACCGGCCATGGAGATGTCGATAGTGGTAGGACGGGGGAAGCATCCAGCAATGTCATCCTCAACTTCGGGGGCACCCTGGCCCAAGTTGGCCCAAGCCTCGGGCTCCTCGAGGAAACCGTACTCGGAGGCGCGCTCAGTACACCAGACGACACCAGTGGAAGCACGGCTAGCATCGAGACCAGCGTGGGGTTGGTGGCCCTCGTGGGCATTGCGGAACTGTCTGTGAGTCTTTGACTGGACCTCTGAGGGGAAACGTCAGCATTTTTATTTTCTTGTGGTGAAGCTATCACAACTAAAGAGCGCTGATCAGAAAGCCAAGAATGACATCGAGCTTGAGTTGGAGCTGTGTGGAGAACGAGGGGCAACTCTGCTCAGCTCCTACCCCGCACTCAACACCACAGCTCGACAACAAGCTTTTCTCCCATCCTTCCTGTTGTGCGTATCTGCATAGCTTGAATGAAGCCAGGAAATATCGAGCAGAGGAAGGCACCGTTTGGATAGCTGGAGTGGCATGTGTAGAGAAATGGAGAAAGGAGTCTAGTCTTATTATTCTTACCGTTGCCTCCAACCTCGCCGACACTGAAGCGTCTCGGCTTGGGCACACCGGTGTGCCGGTTGATGGAGAACTTGCGATTGCTGAACATGTTGCCTTGTTGCACGCAGCTGATGAATGTGTGTGTGGGCTTTGTTGTGGAAGTGACGGTGGGAGGTATCAACAGCTGGATACTGGAAGCTGCGATTGAAGGGGGGTAGGGCGGGAGTTTTGTGGTCGGTGAAAGAGGTTTCTCCGATATCACCTGGCTGGGGCAAAATCTGGGGAAGGTGAGGAAGGGAGAGTGCAGGTGCGGGAAAGGTGAAGCTAAAAAAACAAAAGGGGGAAAAAAGGGCTCTTCACCTTTTCAAGGTGAGGCAGCGAGGGGCACAGAAAACGTCTTATACGGGGAAGCTGCGAAGTGGAAGGCTTCTCTTCACCGGCACTTGGGTCCTGACGTTGGCTTGGGAATCCCTGCAGGTCAAGAATGCAGCTCCCATGCAGGCTCTTCCAGAGGTGGAGTATTCAGAATGCGATAGGGACGCTGATAGGCCAGGAGACCGATTTCTTCCTTCTCGAAGATGAACGTGGGACTGTCACTTGACGAAGTTGGGCGGATGGTCACCGAGTCTCGCAGGGCGACGGGGGGTCAAAACAGGTCCTGAAAGGAGAACAGCAGCAAACAGTGTTTTGGTCTACAGCCAGAGCCCATTCGCAGTCTAGTCCGCGCCGTATCCGTGCCGCTTGTGCCGTCTTCAGGCAAAAGCCAATAAGTCCCTGATCGTCGATCTAGGTAGGACCTATCGTAGACATGTTCGGTGACGAGAGTGAACGCAGCGCAGAGGACAGTACTATGTTTCGCGAGGACACTCATCAAGGAACGCAACGCCAGCGCGTTTCTGTGCCCGGAAGTTGCCCCTCCTCTGCCCCTCGTTCTTCCTCGCCAACGTCAACGATTCGGGTTGGTACTACTACAGTACGTAAAAAAGCGGTGTCTAGAGTCAGTGTCCTGCTCCAAAGCGGATCTCCGCATCGCGGCCTGCCCCGTACCCAGTTGCGAATGCGATTCGTGCCCAATCACTGCAGGTAGCCGTCTCCCGTCCCGGATTGAGGGCCGTGAGGGCCTAACTTCTGGGGGGAATCGGCCCTCGCCAGACCGTCTCCAGAGTCTAGTAAAGGGCACGATATCTCGATTTATCGCAAGTATTCACGGTACACATGGTGGATGTTGCACAGCGTCTCTGGGTTGTTGAACTCCTGGCCCAATCGTGGGAGCTAGGGCGGGTCCCGAACACGACTTGCCGGGACATTCAGGGCGCTTGTGTTGTCGTGGGCCGGCGCACCCGATCATCGAATTTGACAGTATCTCTAGATCCGAAAGTGATGAAAGTCTTTGAAGAATCCAACCAGCTGAATCACGGCCAGCAGAATGAGCCGCTACCTAGTGACATATGGCCACTCAGCGGGGTTAAGTCCACGAAATGAAATAAAATAACCCTCGAGCAATCTCTGAAATCCGGAAACCGTGATTGCAGAACCTCACGAAACCGGCGACAGCGAATGCATAGTTCCCTGGGCCCCGTGTACCGAGACCTCATTAGCGCCATCTTGGCCCCGTCACGGCCCCTGTAAGAGACGGAAGACGGCCGATGATGCAAGCCGGTCGAGGGAGTGGTATTTAGGCGATATCTACGGATATTGGACGGAGGTTGACTTGGGTGATTAGGTAATTGTCGGAATCTGAGCAGTCGGCAGAAAAGTTGGATATGAAAGGCGGTCTGGGCCATACAAAGTGCCCTTCTGCTTACTCACACCTTCTGGAGGAATCTTGGTGCCTTACGCAAAAATAAGAATTCGTGATGGTGTGTATCTCTGCAAGCAATAGAATGTAACGTCAAACTGCGCCAGATCGGTAATGTCTTCTTGACCGGCCTTGCCACACGGCTTCATGATCACCAGTATGGGAAATGATTGCATTGCTTGAACAAATGAACTGGATTCTAACATCAAGTATCAGAGGCTGTTTTCTGACGGCATGTACCTTTTACCAGCCAGGTCTTCTTCCGTGCCTTCCTACCTGACTTTTGTAATGGCACAATCTCTCCACCATGGAGACGTCTGTGGTATTACTCAGAGGTATATTTTACAATTGTACAAGGAAGGCGTCGCTCCCACTAATCTGATCCTGCCCGTGCCTGTCCTTAGGCTCTTCCCATTCACCCGCTATGTCTTGTCTGTTTGATTTTAAGCAATGTTTACTCGCCCTTCAGCTTGTCCTGCTTCACAGAGAAAGCCATCTCCAGGAACTCTTGCTCCTCCTTGTTGTGCAGACCCTTGTTACCAGCGGCAACAGATGCACTAGGGCCACGGCCAGCGTACATGACATGCTTGCGGTCGTGGTGCTCAGTGTTGTTGAGCAGAGTCTCGAGGCGGGGCTGGACGAAACTCCAGGCACCGGCGTTCAGGGGCTCCTCTTGGCAGTAGACAATGGTCTTGGCGTTGGGGTACTGGTCGAGGTTCTCCTTCAGTTGTTGCCAGGGGAAGGGGTTCAGCTGCTCGATACGGGTGAACGCGACGTTGTCGATCTTGTTGTCGGCGCGGTACTTGGACAGAGTAGCCCAGACCTGGCCAGAGCAGAGAATAACGCGCTCAATCTCCTCCTTGGGCTTGATGACACCAGTCTCATGCTCCGGGTCGGGGATGATCCAGCGGAAGTGAGAGTCTCCAGAGAACTCCTCAATGTTGGAACGAGCCAAGGGGTGGCGGAGCAGAGCCTTGGAGAAGAAAATAATGAGAGCTAGTGAAGTGAGCAATAGGACCTACGGAAAAGGAATGATCAGAGTGAACTTACGCTTGCGGAATTGACGATGCATCTGTCTGCGAAGGACGTGGAACAAGTTGGAAGGGCTGGTCATGTATGCGACCTGCATGTTGCAGTCCTGGTGCTGGCGGTCCAGCTTCTCGGGGGAGGGGAAGACGCGAGGGTCCTCGTTGCTCAGCTGCAGCCATCTCTCGAGACGACCGGAAGAATGCTCCGGACCCTGGCCGTCGTATCCGTGAGGCAGGGACACGACAAGACCAGTTCTCTGCATCCACTTGGCCTCACCGGAAGCAATGAATTGATCGATGATGCACTGCGCGTTGTTGGCGAAATCACCGAACTGGGCCTCCCACATGACGAGAGCATTGGGAGAAGACAGCGAGTAGCCGTACTCGAAACCGAGGGCGCCAAACTCGCTCAAGGAGGAGTTGGAGATGACAAACTTGCCCTGGTCCTTGCTGACGTGCTGAAGAGGAGTGTGGGTGTCTTCGGTCTCCTGATCGTGGAAGACAGCATGGCGCTGAGAGAAAGTTCCACGCTCAACATCCTGACCGGAAACACGAACGTGGTGACCCTCAGTGACAAGGGAACCGAACGCAAGGGCTTCAGCAGTGGGGAAGTCAATGTTCTTGCCCTCGACAACAGACTTGGTCCTGTTAGACAAGATGCGCTTGAGGTTGCGGTGAGGCTGGAAGCCCTCGGGGGTGCTGCCGATGACCTCACCGAGGTGGTTCAAGGTCTGGCCGTCCACGCTTGTCTCGTTGTGAGGAAGGACCTCAGTCGCAAGCTCCTTGGGAGACTTGAAGCCGTTCCACGCAGAGGTGGTCCATTCCTTGGAGGTGGGTTGGTATTCCTTGGACTTGGAGAAACTCTCCTCCAGCATACCCCACACCCACTGCTTGTGCTCCTCAATATCCTCCTTGGTGAAGCTGCCATCCTCGAGAAGCTTGTTGACGTAAATGGCAATCTGAGACTCGTGGTCCTGGATGCGCTTGTACATGAGAGGCTGGGTGAAGGAGGGCTGGTCGGTCTCGTTGTGACCGTGCTTTCTGTAGCAAACAAGGTCGACAATGACATCCTGCTGGAACTCAGCACGCCAGTCGGCAGCCATCTGGCACACGAAGTTGACAGCCTCGACATCATCGGCGTTGACGTGGAAGACAGGCGCATCGATGGCCTTGGCGATGTCGGTGCAGTAAGCCGTGGAGCGGGCAAAACGGGGATCGGTGGTGAAGCCAATTTGGTTGTTGACGACGAGGTGAATCGTACCGCCAGTAGAGAAGGCGGGCAGAGAGTGGAATCCAAGACATTCGTAGACAACACCTTGCGCGGCGAAGGCAGCATCACCGTGGAGCAGAACGCCCATGGCAGTGCGATGCGTCTTCTCATCATTGTTGTAGTGCTGGATAGCGCGAGTCTTGCCGAGCACAACGGGGTCTTCGGCCTCCAAGTGAGAAGGGTTGGCGACAAGAGAGAGCTGGACGCGCTTGCCGGAGGGCGTAGGGCGCTCGAAGTTCATACCAAGATGGTACTTGACGTCACCAGAGCCCTCGTCCTCGGCGCCGGCAGTTCCGGCGAACTCGCTGAAGATAGACTCGTTGGGCTTTCTTACAACGTTGCTCAGAACGTTCAGGCGACCACGGTGAGGCATGCCGATGACAATATCCTTGACGCCGTAGTCGACGCTACGATCGATCAAGGCCTTCATACCGGGAACGAGAGTCTCGCAGCCCTCGAGGCCGAAACGCTTGTCATTGGGGTATTTCGTGGCAAGGAAGGATTCGAAGCTGGAACTCCAGATGAGACGATCGAGGATGCGGCGCTTTTCGTCGATGGAGTACTTGAAGGCTTGGGGGACCTCGATTCGCTCGCGCAACCAGTCGCACTTCTCTCTGTCGGGAATGTGGATGAACTCAATGCCGTAGGAACCGCAGTAAATCTTCTCGCAAGCATCAATGATTTCGCGGAGAGTCATCTTCTCGCGGCCTTCCTTCTTGAAGCGAGGCAGAATGCCAGGTCCAAGCTCATACTCGGCATCGAGGTCCTTCTCGGAAAATTGGTAGTGCTCGAGAGTCAGTTCCTTGGGCTTGATGTTACCGAAGCCCTGAGACTCGTTTCGGATCCCCAGGGGGTCGATATTGGCCTTGTGGTGGCCTCGAGCTTGGTAGGCGCGCACCAAAAGCTGAACCTTGAGATGGTTTGTGATCTCAGAGCCCTGGCCGAGGCCAGCACCGAGTGCTGGGACGCCACCAATGGCTCCAGGAACCAGAGAAGGGGGAGGAGTGAAGGCCTGGGCGATGGGCATGTCGCCGTTCTCCATGTTCTTGAAGTAGACCTGCCATGAGACGTGGACGCTCTTGGGGTCTTGCTTCCACTGCATGTACATCTCATCAATGTAGTTGGCAGTGTTGCCGGACAGGAAGTTATCGTTGGGGTTCGGGGCATTGTCGGTCGCGCTCGCATAGTGACGTTGGCTGGTCAAGGCCAGGGGGCGACGGGCAGCCGCGAGCTTCCTCGTCGAAGTTCGCGACGCGATGGTAGAGAAGCATGATGATGAGCTTGTAGGTTTTGAGGTGTGAAGCACCCGAGTGCCGGCTCTATAGACAGAGCTTCGCAACATGGTGGCGGATAAGACGGTTGTGGAGGAAGGTCAACGCCGTGAGCTGGATGAGCATGGAAAAGATGGAAAGGAGGCAAGCAAAGACGGAACTTTGTCGGTCCTCGGGAGTAAGCGGTCGGGTTCATACGGGCCTGCGGCAAATCTGTCTTGGACTGGTGGAGAAAAGCTATAGCCCCACATGAGTAGGTACGGCTGACCTTCCACAGCTGACCTAGATTTACATATCATTCGCCTGCTCAGCTCGATAAGACATAAATACTGGATACACCGATATTTTCTGACATGCATAAGGTAGGTCTAGAAATGCGATCCGGGGTGGCTCTTCAGTGTGAGCTTCGAAGTGGCGCACTTCCTGTGGCTGGACGTGGCTAGTGTGACCCCCAGTCCTCATTGGTCGATGATGCAAGTCAACCGAAAACAGCTAATTAAAAATAAAATAAAAACGTCACGTGACCGTTTGTCGTCTCTTTCCCCCAAAAGCCACGATGCAATCTGATTCCCAAGAATCTGGGTAGACAAATCCTGACGCTTTCGACTTGGCAAGATCCAGGTCCGTCCGAGGCATCCAGGGACTCAATTTCTAACAAAGTTGGAGGGGCGAACCACGTGTGGCTATTATGCGCACTGCTTTGATGCTTCAAGAGCACGAGATGTGAGCCAATACGGCTGTGTAAGAAAGCCTGTGTGGCAGGTTTGACCTCCCTGGCCAATCAAGTTGGCGTGTATCCACTTCCGGACCTGACCTAAGCCACCTCACTTGACTCCGCCCGGAGTCAAGCCCCGTGGAGCCTGCTCCGACTTTCAAAATATCAAAGATTATATTCACTCGGTAAGGAGCTTGTCAAAGCGATAATTGATTTCAAACACTGAGGCATAATTATCAGGCAGATTAGTTTGTCAAGGCTCTGAGTGCTTTGATCAGAGGCAATGGATAGAATCAAATATAAGATGACTGGTTTGAAGTAACTCAGCATACCCATGGAACCCAATTCATTGACAACAACAACGACAACAAAGACTTGAGCAGCATCAACTCATCTGACAACTTGACACTACACCTTTGTGGCCCATAACATTGACTGAATAGCATACCCCATCGATTCAAACTTTGGAGAACTTCTGTTTGACCGCAAACTTTCCTTCGAGAAAGAACAACCACATCGCCTTCCCCGACGGCTTCTACCCCACTTTGACACTTATATCAACTTCACTGCGGCAGCAGCACTCTACACACTACCTTCACAATGCCTTACCTCGGCGATTCTTTTCCTTTCTCAAACTCCTTCTCCACCAGCGAGAAACCTGAGATCAGCATGTCTATCTTCGGAACCTTCAAGCAGAAGCTTGGCCGCAAGTCATCTTCATCTCGCAAGTCCAAGCAGGCATCCCAATCAAATATGTCGACACCCGGCAGCAACAATCCCTTTTCAAGCCCTGCGGTCAAACCCGCCAATCGTGAGTCTTCACCCAAGATTATCGTGACTCCTCCATCTCCGACCAAAAGCGCTGATAAGCCCTCAGCTCCCGACCATGCTCCTCCAGCCTACTCGGTTACAGCACCCGCTCCATCGGTAAAAGGATACCTGGCAAGCAATGGTGGACCTGTTAGAAGCCCCTCCCCCGCCCTGTCCACCACCCCGTCCACCGCCGGTTCCATCATTTCCAGCACCGGCATGAGCGTTTCGACGCCAGAGGACCCCTACGCATTCCTTTCCTCCTTCGACACCATTTTCGTTATTGACGATTCGGGGTCCATGTCCGGCCGCTCGTGGCTCGAGGTTCAGGGTGTCATCCGCAACGTCGCCCCGATCTGCACGTCACATGACGAGGACGGCATTGACCTCTACTTCCTCAACCATAAGACCCTGGCAGGTGGAAGCCCTCGGGAGGGCAAAGCCGCCGGTGGTTACTACGGCATCCGTCGTGCCGACACGGTGGAGGGTATCTTCACGTCGGTTCGTCCCCGCGGTTGCACGCCTACGGGTCAGCGCCTCCTCGCCATCCTCAAACCTTATCTTCAGCTCCTCGAGACCAAGAAGAACGACATCGAGAGCGTCAAGCCCATCAACCTCATCGTCATCACCGACGGTGCCCCCTCCGATGACGTTGAGGCAACCATCCTGTACGCAGCCAAAAAGCTCGACAAGCTCGACGCTCCCATGCACCAGGTTGGTGTGCAGTTCTTTCAGGTCGGCAACGAGCCTGGTGCCCGCGAGGCGCTCCGAGAGCTCGACGATGACCTCGTTGGCAGATGTGACGGCGATCTTCGAGACATGGTCGACACCGTTACCTGGGAGAACGGTACCCGCGGTGTGCTCACAGCAGACAACATCCTCAAGGTCGTTCTCGGTGCGGTAGTCAGACGTCTTGACCGTCGTCGTACAAGCGGCGAAAGCCGTCGCTAAGAATGACCAGCTGCATATATTTCTCTCCTTTGTTAGCAATTTCGGGCATTGATGGCGTTTGGGAGGATAGAATCAGTTTCCGGGCCCTCACAAGGGCCGTTGATGACGCAAGCCGATACCTGATACCCAACGGAAGGCTTTCTGAATTAGATCTCCTTTAGAGACGGGCAGTGAGTTGCCCTAGACCATGGTGGCATGGCTCACGCCATCGGAGAAGGTTGATGTACCACCTTCCATAACCATAGACAAAAGATTCTCTTCAATGAGACTTAACCAAATTGCAATATTGGTCCGCGCGCGTGGGGGAAATGTGACCAAGTTACGATGTGTAGGCCGGTACGCCCGCAAGTGTATGACAAGACAACCCGCCGCTGATATATCTCAACTCATATTCTTCATCACCACTGTACCGCGTTTTTCAGCAAAGACTATGCCAAGAGAAACCCCAGCTGTTATGAGTAATGACGACGGTTGTAATACCGATGTGGAGGGAGAATGCATAGAGAGTCAGACGATTTAGCCATCCACTTTGGTGGTCTGGGTTGTTGAAATGATTGAACAAGACTAGTAAGAGGGAAAAAACAGTCGGGGTCTGGAAATTACTAGCAGATACTTTTGGAAACTCCGACGCCAAGCGGGGGACCCACCTCACTCTCACCTTGAACATCGTCGATAAACTCACCACAACTCACCAACAAGCCCTCTCAAACTTCAAACCCCCCAAACCTCGGGTTCCAAAGGCTCAAAACTCGCTGTAATTACCATACCAAAAACGAAACCCATTTACGCAAGACATTGTCCAAATGAGACCACCATTCGGCTACATCCCACGTCTGTACGCGCCTCTCCGACTCTCAACCCGCCAATCATTCAGACCGTCACCCGCGCTGACCGCCGCCGCCGCCACCGCGACGACAACGAGGTTGACGTTCAAAAACAGGATGAGCACATCATCTGGCCCTCAGTCGATGACAATGTGGCCAGCTGCAAGTCAAGGTGAAGGTGAAGAGAAGAACCTGAACGGTGGTGGTACTGGTACTGGTAGCCACCGAGAGCACCACCCCACGGAAAGCACGTCACCGGCCCCTAAAAAAACGACATCAAACGCCCCCGCGGAGGCCAGTCCCAAAACCAGTGGCGCCGATTCTAGCCAGCGCCAGCCTCACTCCCAGGGCGACGATCAGGGCCTCGCTGGTGCTGAGAGGCGGGATGGACCCCTGGCTTTGCCGCCGCTGCCCGAGACCGAGACCTCGTCGTCGTCTGGTGCTACTGGCGGGAACTCCGCGGGAGGAGGAGGAGACAACAAGGGCGTCAGCAGCAGCAGTAGCAGCGGGAGCAACACCATCACTCTCGACATGAGCGGCGGCGACGCCTCAACCAAGCTGGACCACCTCGGCCCCCTGGTAGTCAACCAGGACGGCACCATGTCGCGAATCAGCAACTGGGGCGAGATGACGGAGATTGAGAGGCGCAACACGGTGAGGATCTTGGGTAAGAGGAACCAGCTTCGTCTTGCTTCGCTCAGGGGGGAGAAGGAGAAGAATGGGGCCGAGGCTGGAAAGTGAAGATGTGGAAAGTAAATTTACTTGGACACCTAGAGACACTCCCCCCTTTTTTCCCCGTCTCTCCATTCACATCTGTAACGAAGTACCACTCGGTGAGACTTATTCATTCGGAGAGACTCGTGAGAAGAGCCTGGAAAGAGTTTGTCAAAGATATTGTAGGATTAAGTGGATGTACTATAGTAGTTCCCAATAGCAAGGGGGACCCCCATCACCCCCATCCCTCCCATCCCTCCCCCCCTTGACTCTTTTGGAGTATCGACGAGGGTTTAGGTGGTAAGGCCGAGTAGTTGCGTAAAACTACTGCACGAGAAGTCAAGAACCGAGCACCCGAGAAATGAATCGTCTCCATTTCAACCAAAAGTCTCGCATCCCGTCTTGTCCTACCGTCCTCCTAGACTCCTCCAACCTGGTCCTGAGCCCGCCGCGCCGCGCCCGCCCGCCCCTTGGCCTAGACAGACAGTATTTTCCGTTTCGCCATCGTCGGCTCTCGTCCCGTCCTATCCCACGCCGTATAATGCGTATTACTTTCTCACCCAACCTACCACATTCCGCGTAGAGCATGTCGTTATGGATTAGCGGATTCTGAATTTTCATCGTTCTCTGGGAGTCTGAAGTCTGGAGTTCGATGGACTGATGGAGTACCCGTACCCGTAACGAACCAAGCCGTTCGGATCCCCGTTGGCAGTAGAGTCGGATATCCAACCCTACCCTGACCAGCCCGGCCATGGGCGAGACACGGCGCTACGTACCTCCCCGACCGACTGACTCTACACTAGGCCCTGAGACCCTCGAGTCTGTGGCGGCTTGGCCATCAGTTCCTGCCCGTTTTCTGCCTCAATGGGAGGCATGTCGGTGCGGTGGAGAAGAGCGCGGGGATCACCGGTAAACACGAACATTACAGCCGAACAGCGGTTCTTTCTCCCCCGATCCGTCATGGGCACAAGAGCAGGTGAGGCCAGGGGATGCCTGCGCAGGCTTGGGGTGGTTGAACTCTACCTGATGGGGACCGCGGGAGCACGCCTTCGAGTTGCGGGATGTTGAGACCTTCTAACCCGAGTCTAACCTGAGCACACACGCTGGGAGGAACAAGAGCTTGGAAAGGGTTGGTAAACCTGAATAGTTTAGAGTTGACTAAGTCAATAGCCTTGGGGTCGATTAACCCATCCGTGTAATTCATTGCTGTGATATACTCTATCACGCCCCAGATCATGAGTTCGTGCAGGTATAGATACATGTAAAAATCTCATCACATGTTGCCAATCGTTAAAAACAAGCCGCTCAATAGTACCGCCCGTTCATCTCCCCTCTAGCCTCCTATCACGACTCCCATCCCACAGCATGTCTCCTCGTCCCTCCACGGTATCAAACTCCATTTGGTGCCAGAATAAAACCCAATGTCTTGAACATGAAACGCATTGCATACAGGCGTCAGTCGGAGAGAATATAGTGCCTCCTCCGAGTGTTGACCAAGTTTCCCATTTCTACTTTGCCTCCCCAGACTTGAGAGAGTCCGAAGATGTCGCGGTCGCCTTGGTTTGCTTGTTCTGGAATTCCTTGAGCATAGAAGCAATGTCCTCGCTGCCCTCGTTCTTCTCCATGACGAGGTTCTTGAGCCAGCGGTTCTCGGTTTCGAGAAGGTTGATGCGCGATTCCAAAGCTGAGACCTTGTCCGACATCTCCTTGGCGCTCTTCTCGAGGGCCTGCTCACGCTGCTTCTTCTTGATGCGGAACCTGGCGCTGGCGGCGGTGTTTCTCCTGCGCTTGTCCTCCTCTGCGGCAACACGAGACTGCTCCTCAAAGTTGTGGCCGGGCCTGCTGACTCCGTTCAAAGACTCAGGAGTTCTGGTATCGGCGGCTGAAGGCGTGGGTGCGGCATAGTGGTGGTTGTGCTGCTGAGATCCAGGAGGCGCCGCGTAGGTGGGTTGCGGGTTAGGCTGGAGAGGTTGAAGGTTACCCAGGCCTTCGGCGAAGGGCGGGACGCCCGAGGCAGGGTAGGGGTTGGTGAAATCGTGAAAGTTGAATTCGCCTGTCATTGTTCATGGTCAGATGGATGATTCAAGGCAGGAGTTATCAGTTCCTGGCATCGTGGCGTCGTTGAGACGGCGGAATGAGGGGAAAGACGGGGCGGATAGCGCTTGATCGAAAGAACAACCGCATCGACGAGTCTAAATGTTGGAGATACAAGACCATCAACCATAGCACTTGCTTAATCGGTGTCGGATGGCGGCTGCCCAGATGGTCGAAACATCCCTGCTAGGATGGATGACGAAAAGTCACGGGATATTGCACCATCCCCCGGCAATTTGTAAGCTCCAATCTGGAGTCGCAGCTCTCCCTCAATACCGCACGCCGGCAACCTGCATAAGAGCAGACAGCTTCTCCCAATCAAGATATCCGAATGAAACATGGACTGCGCATGAACAGGGTGGGGTAAGAAAAGACAGGTTCGAAATGCTGGTGGTGATAAGGCGGTCGCATGCACTTGGCTGCGACCCTGAGTGAAAGTTGAGCTGATCGCTGATTAGGGCTTGAGGTTAAAGTTCAGAGAAGCCACTTGACTCGTGTCTGAACGGTGAATCGTCATCTGTTTCCCATTCGCCCGATACTGAAGTGATTGTGCCCATAGCTGTCTGTAACGTGGCAGATGGTTGAAGGGAAAGTTATGGTGTGAGTGATGAACATAGTAATGAGGAGTGAGGATGACGATGATGTGACTGAGCTGGGACTTTTGGTGCACAAGCAAAATCCCATTCAGAATCCCAAACAGGTCCAAATACCTCAACGTGAACGAAAAGGAGACCATACACCAATTCCAAGTAAACATGAAGAAAGCATCGTCTCACCTGGCAGAGAAAAGTCGACGTTGCCAAAGTCGCCAATGGGAGAGGTCAGTTCTTCGGTGACGGCGCTGGATGGAGCCTGGGGCTCAGCGGCGGTAGCGGTCTCGGCCTTCTTGGGCGGTGCCTGGTAGTCGGTGTGCTGGCCAGTCTCGAAGTCGAAAAATTGAGTGTTGGTGAACATGGCGAGATCATCCTCAAACGTGAAGTTCTCCTCGGCGGAACCGGGCTCCTTGACGGTGTTCAGGTCACGCAGGTAGCGAGACACATTGGGCGCGCGCCCACCTCCAGTGCTTGTGTAAGGCGACATGTCGCTCGGCCGGTGAAGGCTCTCGGTTGCGAAGCCGGCGGTGTTGGAACCAAAGAATAGAGAGGCAGAAGAGCAAAAGGGCTCCTTCAAATCGACTCGAGGACGAGGGTGTCGATTTGTTTTGTGGTTGTAAAAGACTGGGTCCCAGAGGTCGAGTCGAGAACGGCGGCGATGGCGTTAAGTGGGTTGGTGTTGTGGCCGCGTTGGTTGTAAACCCCCCAATGTAGTTGAATTAAATGCGTGCGGTTTGAGGACCGGGATCGATTCCAACTTTTGCTCGTGCTCGGCAGTGAAGTCGGCGACGATGGAGGGGCAAATTTGGCGTCGAATCGGGTAGATGTAAGACGAGACCTGGCGATGGTCGGTAGAAGTCGAATGTGTCGGTCGGATGTTCTCCTGAACGGGTGTCTGTCTGTCTGGGTTGTCGAGTGCGAGGTTCGTCTCGGTCTCTGGCTGGACTGTTGGGTGGTTCAGGGAGGAGTGGATGGGATGGGGGAAGAGGAGTCAAATTGGGCGAGAATGAAGCCTTTGTTCGGAGAGGCAGGTTGCGGACACAGGCCGAGTGGATAGTATTAGTCAACTTCTTTACCCGACAGCGCGACTTTCAGTGCCCGGAGGGGAGGGGCCCCCCCCCAATGCCCCAAGGGTGCTCCGCGCTGCTGGTTGGCTCCGACCATTGGCCGACCCCCTTGTTCATTTCCCTGCAGAGAGGGCACCCCACGCATCTGCGTACCGCTGCAGGCTGCACAAGTCTCGCCTGGGAGATACTTCCATTGAGACTTGAGAGTGGTGGCCAGGCATATGCTAGCCATCCAGGCCTGGAACCTCCACCCACACACGACGCTTACGCCCACGTCCTCTCCCACCACTTCCACTGATTCTCGCACGCAAGAGGTAAACATCACACCGGAATTATTAGCACCTCGCCCTTTCGGATGTTGAGAGTACCGCTAGCGCTGCGCTATTTTTGCGCTGATCTGAAGGTCCCTGGTACCACAGGGGCGATGTGAGCCCCCCACCGGCCGATGAACGGGGCCGTGCTCCATCTGAAGTCACATCCAATCACCTGCGAGAACCCCAGTCGATATGTGCTAAGCTTCTACATTTGCCGGGAATGACATTATAGCCAAGTCACAGCGATAGGACATTCCGAACAGCAGTACTCTCATAACCTGCCTTCTTTCCGAGCGCACCCTTTCCAACTCCCGGAACCATGACCGGTAAGCATGAGCACTCGATCTTGGAGCCCCTCTCCACACTGCTGTGGACGCAGTGCCTATGTACACATCCACCCGTCATCACTCACCCAAGGCTGGTGAACGATCTGAAAGCCCCGCGGCAATTGCGCATCTCTGGCCTGACAGTGTTCCGACACCCCTCGTTTTCGGGCTGTTGGCAATTGACGTCTTCAAGTCGCATTTTTGGTTGATCGACATTTGTCTCGGGGGCTTCACCTTCCACTCGATCTCCCATGTCTCCGTATTTATGTAAATCTTTGGGTGTGAGAAAATTCAGACGTTGCCAGCCAGTGTGGCCTCTCTTGGATTGAGCTCCAGAAACATTCCACTGACGAAACGTTATTACACAGATTCTAAGTTTTGTGCGCACACATGAGTCCACTTACGCTGTGGCTTGCATCGCTCGTGGAAGATTATTAATGCTTCGGTACTAAATACCGGCGGTAAGTGCAATACCCGCGCTACGGTCACAAAACAATCAGCAGCAATCCCAAGTCCCAACCACGTTGTTCGTTGCTGGCGATGAAAACCCGGGTCCATCATGACTCGGCTGGTCTGTTTTGGGCATGGTCGCGGGTTTCTGGTGTCAACCTTGCCGTGTTTCCTCTGGCGTGTCTGGGCACGGCATCGTCTCACGGTCCTACTTGTGAAAGGGCCCTTAAATCTGAATTTCTAAGCAACCCCTCCGACCCTCGGAAGCGCCACCGGCCATGTTCGGTAAGTAGGCCCGACCGTGCCTCCCAGCCGCTGCATCCTGCACCTAGGTATTCGTACTGCGCAGTATTCTTCTTCAGGCTTCAGGGACTTTACCGCGCAAGACCAGGACCGCCGCCTGCCAGGCCCCAGCCCTTACCAGGCTGCCAGGGCATTATTATTGAACTTGATGGATGGCCAGGGAGGAACAACAGCCCCGCTAGCTGGTAATCTGCCCGTTCAACCATGTCTTGTTCACTGCCCACGCCCTGGTCTTGCACGTTTGATGCCAACCAACTTGGGAAAAGCACATGTCGGTCCCAGAACATCGTGAACCCCGCTGTCGCCGTCAACATCCCCTGCGCCCTCCACTGTCAGCAACTTGCTCCCGTCGTTTGCGGGCTCCGGGCTGGGTGCCACGGGTGCCTTGGCCGCCGGCCTCTCCTCTAGGACCCGCCTGCGCGGTTGGTCGGATCGGGCACCCATAATTCGTCTGTCAGCGTCCCTGGCTGCCTTCCCTCCCTAGTTCAACCTCAACGTCTGCCGCCCACAGAGCCACTGCTCCGTGCCCCTCCGTTGTGGCCCGTCTCCCCCCTGTTTGCGGCAAGCCCCTCCGACCCCGTATGCAACATGTGCCCCGTGCACCACAACTCACAACTGCATGTGAGCTTTTGAGGTACGGATACGCGACGCGTCTTTGCTTTACAACGATTCCACGACCAACAATACCTGTGTAAAGCCCATCTCCGCTTAAGATACTTCAGCCTCAATTACCGGGGTGATTGACGACAACCTCGAGGCTTTAGTATCGCTTCATTGTTTTTACCCACCCGCGACGTTACCGTTGGGACAGTGCACTCGGGATACATCAAAAGCGCTGCCTTGTTTTCCTCGAGCACCATGTTTTGACGGCCATGGCACGCTTCTCAATCCCGACTGCAGGACGCTTATCGTCGACCGTTCGACTGCCGCCCAACAACTCTTCCGTTCTAAAAGCTCTAGGTCGCTTATCACGATCCTCTCTGCTGTCTCTGGTCCTCGAATGGCTCAGTGACGAGAATGTACCATTATGCGCGCCTATACTAAACGAAGAGGAGGAAGATGGTGACGGTCTCTACCCTCCGGCATCTTCTCTGGAAGGCCTACGAACCATCTATGCGGATCTACAGTTTAGGAAAGGGTCCAAACGAGAGGTCATTGATCGCATCACCGACGGCGACTGGAATCATGGTCTGACCCTATACCAAATGGCGCTGGCAGATGCCCAATACCTTGAAGATCACCCCACATCGCAGAAATGGAATGCTTACCGCATTATGCCTCTCAAAGAGGCTTCATACGTCGATGATGAAGAGCAGCCCCCAGAAGTCGATACTGCGTCTCTGACTCTTCCTCGATTTCACCCATCCACGTTCATCCAAAACCTTCAATCTCATGTTTTGCCCGACGTCAAAGCTCATTTTCATTTCCATCGACCTCAGGGGCTTACACTATCCGTCTTGCGTATCTTCATCGTCGAGTCTCCCTACAGCACGAGTATGGCACAACTCGGAAATGGTTCTGCGCAGTCAGACGCCGATTTCGACAGCTCACGGACACTATACATCGCCTTTCCAGATGCCTCGCCATTCGTCTACTTGTCCAAAACGCAGACAGTCGGGTCTTTGGGATCGAGCGAAGCCAAGAGCTTTCGCAACCTGGTCGTCGAGGGGATACCGAAGGCGCTCTCTCGACCCCAAGAACGGTATACACTCAAACCCACAAACATTACGACCAAGAACCTCGATGCGCTGTTGCAATCCAGAGGCGTTGGCCGAACCAACGCCGCAGGCGGCGGTTGGGACATTTATGCCGACAAGAAGAAGAACGAGTCACCGCTTGACACCATCTTACCGACGCCGCCTTTGTCAGAAGACTCAGCAGACGACACCTCGGCTTCGACGGCAAAGAGAGATGTCAAACGAAAAGCCGGCGCCGTTGATGCAGATGAAAAGTTTTACAAGAGAGCTCGTCTATGTGCCCAGGCCAGATTCGGCGAGACCGGCAAGACTGACGATGGGTTGGGCATCGAACGAGTGGACATTGTCATGGAAGACCCTTTTCCTAGCAACAGCCTTCGAGCCGAATCAGATGCGGAACAGCGGGCCCCATCAAAGTCATCAACTTGGACTCCCAATGTTAAACTGACATTGCACGGGTCACATGTATTCGCGGGCATACGGCAGCTTGTGGAGAACGGGATCATAGACGGAGAGCGGGTACCGGGCTGGATGACTGGCGAAGAGGGAGTCACAGTAGGGGCCGTCCGGCATGGCAGGATCAGGGGCCATAAGGGCTCTGGCATATGAACTCCCCTCCGACAGGAGAGCGTTGTAGGTCGCAGTCGTTGCGTTTCGCGTGTACCTTCAATGAACTTGATACCCCTAATTGATTTCTTCGAAAATCTTGTCTATTATTCTACGTCGTGTTCTACGCCTCATTCTACGCCGAAAACCTTGACAGTATTCTTCCAGGCGGCCTCGCAAACGTCTTCAACTTCCACTCCCTTGATACCCGCAACGGCTTTTGCTACGCGCTCAATCATGCATGGCTCGTTCCGGCCCTTGATCATGGCACCTTCCTCCCACTTCTCCTTCTTGACGACCTTGAAGCGCTCTGGCACTTCGGGCTCCTTCTTTTGATTCTTCTTCTTGGGCTGGGGCTTCTGAGCTGCGTCCGGGGTTGCAGTGCCGTTAGCAGCGCCATTAGCAGTGCCGTTGACCACCGGCTTCTTCTCAATGAGATACTTGTAGCCGAAATGACTCGGTCTGATCTCGCACCAAGGGCCATCAGTCTCAATCATCATCCTGTCCAGGCCAATCTGCTTGACGACCTCACAGTTCTCCTCGGTTTTGAAACTACAGCCATTGATACCAATGTACAAGCCGAGATCCATCAACTCCCTGGCTTCCTCCATGGAACCAGTGAAGCTATGAACAACACCACCCTTCTCCAGCTTCTCGAGCTTGTCCCCAAACTTCTCCTTGAGTAACCGGACGAAATCCGCATGGGCAGCTCTGGAGTGTAGAAAAAGGGGCAGCTGAGGCTTCGTTTCGAGGACGAGATCAAGCTGCGCCGCGAAAGCGTGGATCTGGACCTTCTTTGAGCAGTAGTGCAAGCGGTCGTAGTCGAGCCCGAACTCTCCAAAGGCGACGACGCCGGAATGGGAGGTGGTCGACTCGTTGATGAGGCCACGGAGCTCGGCTATGATGGCCTCCGTCTTCTTCGGATCCGGCTTGTGGTGCTCGGGGATAGGCTTTTCGGGGTCCGGGTCCGTGTTGATGCCTTCTGCGGCCTCATCCGAGCTGCTGAAAATTGCGCTGCTGCAGGGGTGGATTCCGATCGTCGTGTACACGACGCCAGCTGCAAACGCAACGTCAACAAACAGGCTTGACGTAGATGGCACGTCTTTCTTGACTCACGGTAGTCTTTGGCAATATCCAAGGCATCTCTGGAGCTTGTGAAGTCGGACCCCGTGACTATGAGCTTGGTGCATCCAACTTTCTTTGCTCTTGAGATGACCCCGGCGAGGTCGTTGGGATGCCGTTGCTTGCCATGGTGCAGACCTCTGAAGATAGGATCGGCCAGGTTGATGCCGATCTACCAGGGAAAAAGGGTTATTAAGCTGACTTATGGGCAAGTGGACGGTTATGATTAACACACATCAATGTACCGGGGTTGGTATGCCGGCTTAGACGGCTCTGTGGGAGCGGCCATTGTGACTATGGTGGATGGCGATGACAGAAAGCTTCTATGCAAAGGTTGGATCAATTTTTGTGGCCGTGCTCTGGTGAGAAGCAAAGGGGAGAATCCTCTCATGGATGATGGACAATGATGTCTTCAAGCTTCAAAATGTTCTGTTTTGGAGGCAGGAAAATGCCAATTGATATAGTCGTGACGTCGTTTGGCCTCAATCTCACTGAGGATGTTTAATTGATTTTGGCCTCTCTCACGTGACATCGTGATGAAGTGGAACCCCCACCATGAAGCGACGTGCAACGCACGCGTAAAGTGCCTACAGAAAATCCATTAAAGTGCACCGCATCACTGCGCTGAAACGGTGGGGAGGGGTCAACGCGTGCACCCGGCAAAGTAGTGAGACGCGATTGAAATCAATTAAAGTCTGTCTGAGTGCATTCCAAGCAAGACCAGTCCCCCGGGCCAAGTGTGAAGTCATTTCTCGTTGCAAACGGCAACCCGCGTCAGACGAGAGAGAGAGAAGAATGAGAAGAGACAGAACAACATCCACAGTGGAGTTTGTTGTCAGACTTGATTTCCAAGCCTGCCGTAGCATTAGTCAAGTGGTAGCCAGCTGTGAGACTGAGATTGTCCGTCTTTTTACAGTGCAAAAGCCCGTCGTCCATTGTGTTCCAGGCAAGTGTTGGCTCGGGGATGCGAACGTGAACCGAGGGGCGCGGGCGGAGATGCCTAGCTTACCAGGCCGGAAAACCACTTTTGCCAGCCAATTTATTGTTGATGCCTTGACGTGGCCCCCCTGCCCCCCTACCTCGTCGCGCTAAAGTCCACTTTGGCGTTGAGACCCGTGGACGCGTTTCTACGCGAATTGGCAGTGCCATAAGTATCTGCAGCACCTCCTGGCATCTTTCTATTCTTTTCTCAACCTCCCACAACCCAAACACTCTTGACGCAACGTCTATTTGCACCAGTACAATTCTAATTCTTGGTGCTCTTGATACCCCCTCTCTTCTTCAGCATTCAACTTCATCTTCTTGCTCTCGAGTGTCCTACGTCTCCCACGAGGCGACCCAACAACCCCCGTCTCCCACAACCTCACAGCCATACTCCGGCAAGATGTTCGTGAGAAAGCGCGGTACGTTTTGCTCAGACGCGTTAAGTGATCACGCACGATACTAATTGAGTGCAGACGGGCGCCAGGAGCGCGTCCAGTTCGACAAGATCACTGCCAGAGTGTCCAGGCTATGCTATGGCCTCGACATGGACCACGTTGACCCGGTTGCCATCACCCAAAAGGTCATCTCCGGTGTCTACGGCGGTGTCACCACCGTCCAACTTGATGACTTGGTAAGCACTGCTCTTCCGCCTCTTGCCCCGAGTATCGGATGCTAACAATCTCGTGAACAGGCCGCTGAGACTGCCGCCTACATGACCGTTACTCACCCCGACTACGCCATCCTCGCTGCCCGGATAGCGGTCTCCAACCTCCACAAGCAGACCAAGAAGCAATGGTCTGCGGTCATCAGCGACCTTTACCATTATGTCAACCCCAGAAACAACCGCGCCTCCCCCATGATTGCCAAGGAGACATACGACGCCGTTATGAGACACAAGGAGGAGCTCGACTCTGCCATTGTCTACGACCGCGACTTCAACTACCAATACTTCGGCTTCAAGACCCTGGAGAGATCATACCTGCTCAAGCTCGACGGCAAGATTGCCGAGAGACCGCAGCACATGATCATGCGTGTCGCAGTCGGCATCTGGGGTGACGATGTTGAGCGCGTCATTGAGACCTACAACCTCATGTCCAGCAAGTTCTTCACCCACGCCTCCCCCACACTCTTCAACGCCGGTACCCCTCAGTGCCAACTGTCTTCGTGCTTCCTCGTCGACATGAAGGAAGACTCCATTGAGGGCATCTACGACACCCTCAAGACCTGCGCCATGATCTCCAAGATGGCTGGTGGCATTGGTCTCAACGCTCACCGTATCCGTGCCACTGGCTCCTATATTGCCGGCACCAACGGCACCTCCAACGGTGTCATTCCCATGCTTCGTGTCTTCAACAACACTGCTCGCTACGTCGACCAGGGTGGCAACAAGCGTCCTGGTGCCTTCGCCATCTACCTTGAGCCTTGGCACGCCGATGTCTTCGAGTTCATGGACTTGCGCAAGAACCACGGCAAGGAGGAGGTCCGTGCTCGTGACCTTTTCCTCGCCCTCTGGATCCCCGATCTGTTCATGAAGAGAGTCGAGAAGAACGCCGAATGGACCCTCATGTGCCCCAACGAGTGCCCCGGCCTGGCTGACTGCTACGGCGAGGAGTTCGAGGCCTTGTACGAGAAGTACGAGCGCGAGGGCAAGGGTCGCAAGACCATCAAGGCCCAGAAGCTTTGGTACGCCATCCTCGAGGCTCAGACTGAGACCGGCAACCCCTTCATGCTTTACAAGGATGCCGCGAACCGCAAGAGCAACCAGAAGAACCTCGGAACCATCCGCAGCTCCAACCTCTGCACTGAGATCATTGAGTACTGCGCCCCTGATGAGGTCGCTGTCTGCAACTTGGCCTCTCTTGCCCTGCCTACCTTCGTTGACTACAACGAGGGTGTCTACGATTTCCAGAAGCTTCACGAGGTCACTCAGGTCGTTGTCCGCAACCTGAACAAGATCATTGATGTCAACCACTACCCTGTTCCTGAGGCTCGCAACAGCAACATGCGTCACCGCCCCATCGGTCTTGGTGTCCAGGGTCTTGCTGATGCCTTCCTCGCCCTCCGCATGCCTTTCGAGTCTCCTGAGGCTCGCGATCTCAACAAGAAGATTTTCGAGACCATCTACCACGCTGCTCTGACCATGTCCGTTCAACTCGCCAGGGAGGAGGGTACCTACTCCACGTACGAGGGCTCCCCTATCTCCCAGGGTATCCTTCAGTACGACATGTGGAACGTCAAGCCCTCTGACCTCTGGGACTGGGACTCTCTGAAGGAGCAGATCAAGGAGCACGGTGTTCGCAACAGTCTGCTTGTTGCTCCCATGCCTACTGCCTCCACTTCCCAGATCTTGGGCAACAACGAGTGCTTCGAGCCCTACACTTCCAACATTTACCAGCGCCGTGTTCTTGCCGGCGAGTTCCAGGTTGTCAACCCCTGGCTGCTGAAGGATCTTGTCGACATGGGCTTGTGGTCCGATGCCATGAAGAACCGTATCATCGCCGAGAACGGTTCCGTTCAGAACATCCCCAACATTCCCGCCGAGGTCAAGGCTCTGTACAAGACCGTCTGGGAAATCTCCCAGCGCACCATTGTCCAGATGGCTGCCGATCGTGGTGCCTTCATCGACCAGTCCCAGTCCCTCAACATCCACATGAAGGACCCGACAATGGGCAAAATCACCAGCATGCACTTCGCTGGCTGGAAGCTTGGCCTCAAGACGGGCATGTACTACCTGCGTACGCAGGCAGCTTCTGCTCCTATTCAGTTCACCGTCGACCAAGAAGCGCTCAAGGTCGCTGACGCCGCCGTCGGCAAGGCTCTCAAGAAGCGTGCGCCTCCCCCTGGCCACGTCGCCTCCCCCGTCGTGAACATCCCCAGGCCCATGTACGCAAAGAAGGACTCTTCTGCTCAGGACAACGGCATCCCCACTCCCAGCGTCACCCCTCCTCCTCCCAGAACTGCCCCGGCCCAGAAGCCTGACAACTTCACCGCC